GTGCCAGGTGATCTCGTGTTCGTATTTTAGCCAATCAGCGCTCAGAAAGGGTTGTCCGAATAGAAATCCATTTTGACGTATTCAGTCAATTATATCTTTCGTTATTCTTTATGAAACTAGTTGAAATTTTGTAATTATGTTTGGTTATGAGAACTATAGCTCTGACAAAAACATGGAATCGAAATAAAGTATATTACAGGAGATATTCAGTTGTTCTAATCATAAAATGGATTTCTATTTGACAACTAGTGCCAGTACTTTTCCGCGTATCAAGATCATCTGGTGTGTAAGACGTGTTCGCAACAGGCTTGTAGCAAGCTTGTCAACAAGTTGTAAACAATGCGGTTATTTTATCAAGTTGCTGCAAGGTTGTCACTCACAACGATAGCAAATTGTTGGAACACCTTGTAACAAGTCTGTTCAGCTCAACAACCGTGTAGCAAGTTGTCAACAAGTCGTTGACAACATGTCAACAAACTGGGAACAACCAGTGCGAACACAACTTGTTGACAAAGTGTTGGAATAATCTCACAGCTTGCCAACGTACAAGATGTGTTCCACACATTTTCTTTATTATACAGAGGGTATTATTTATAACTTTAATAACTTTTTTATTTAACAACTATATCTAACACATCAAGTTCGTTAATCCGTTTTATCAGTACCAAGACACTTTTATTAGTACTATTTACAACATGAGCGGCCGTGTTGTATCGGACATACAAACTCGAGCCGAAAACGAGAGTTTGTATATCCGATACAACACGGACGCGAATGTTGTAAATGGCTTAAAAAACGACTCATCTTATGAGTTCATTGGCGAAGTAATTTTAAAAATAAACATTGTCTAAGCCGAAAAAATCAAAGTTAAAGTTTATGTAAATCAACATGAATCTGTATCACATATACAGATACGACACGCTTATGATTTTTCTTTGTGTTTTCCTCATAAATTATTACTGAGTTTTTTAATAACACTCACAAATCATAGCCGAGTTATCAAATTCATGTCACATAATGACCCGCCCCCAATTCAATGTTTGCAACCATAGACCATTTTAAACGTTTTGCGATATCGTTTCAAACGCAAGCAATAGACGAAAGGATTAGCGGCAAAATTAAGAGAAAATATCGCATTTCCAACAGCAAGAATGCTGTTTGTGTCTGAGGATACACCCGTACCACGAAGCAGGCTATAAATTGTTCCTGGTATCACTGTAACGACGGCAATACATGCAATTATAATTATAGTGTTTAAGAACTTCTGTTCCTTTGTATTGTTGATTACTTGGAAATTTTTAGGCCTTTTGTTGGAGGAAAGGTCTTCAGGTTGAGCACGTTCATTCTCACTTTCAACATGTTCGTTTTTGTTCTGAGCACGTTGATTGTGACTTTTAGCACGTTCATTTTCAATTTCAGCACGTTCATACGGATTTTGAGCACGATCATTCTGCTTTTCGGCACGATTATTTTGATTTTCAGCACGTTCACCCTGGCTTTGATCATGTTCACTCTGACTTTCGGCACGTAAATTTTCAATTTCAGCACCTTCATACTGGTTTTGGGCGCGACGATTTTTATTTTCAGCACGTTCAACAAGGCTTTGACCACGTTCATTCTGACTTTTAGCACATTCATTTTCAATTTCATCACGTTCATACTGAAATTGGGCACGAACATTCTGCTTTTCGGCACGATGATTTTGATTTTGAGCACGTTCATCTAGACTTTGATCACGTTCAATCCCATTTTTAACATGATTATTACTTCCAACACAAGTTTCGCTTTCTATCGAACTGCTTTTGTTAGGCGCATACTGACTTTGCTTCGAAGAAAATGTAGTTTTTTTACCAATCATGGATCTCGCTTGCTTTCGTAACGCAAAATAAGTTTTGCCATAGACAACGGCGGTGAACAGTACCAAGACTAAAGCGATCCCTGGTTTTGCATTGGCATCATTTTCGTTGCGAATAAAAATATTCTTCACTGGATGAACGGAGCTTAGAAACCAAATAAAAGCGATCCATATTGCCATCTTTTTTCCACTCATTAGGAACCGATGCTTGAACGGATACATTATCATCAAGTATCGATCAAGAGCGGTCGAAAAAATTGTCCACATTGATGAATAGAATGAAAAAGTTTGCAAAAAGACAACAACTGCATTCTCGGACTCGAGAGAAGTCTCTGTTATCAACATCAGATTAACGAGCAAGTCAGACAAAGCTAGATTACCAACAAGATACGTCGCAGAATTTCGAAAACATTTTAAAGGGTCTTTAATAAAAGCGATCAACAGCATTAAATTCGCTAGGATCCCGATACAACAGATTATACATCGTGGCAAATAGATAACATCGAAGCTTTTTCTGAAAGACATCGTGCACACAGCTTGCGATGCTTCGACGAAATAAAATTTGTAATGAAGATCGGTGTAGATTAATATTTAATTGTTTTTAATGAAAACACAAAGTCTGTTATTGCGAAAAGCTTTCAATCCGTCAATGTCTAGGAATATATATAATTTTAAAATTTAAACTCGGTCTGTGCTAGCGATGGGAAAAAGCAGTGCGAACACATCCTGATATCGTCTTGACAACAACCTTGTTACAAATTGTTTGAGATCTATAACAACTTGTGCGTTTTTACGTGGGGGTACATGCGCACTAAACTCTCACATCTTGTAGCAAGTCTGCCAACAAGCCGTCCACAGGTTGTATTCGCACTGCTTGTCCCAAGTTGTCAACAAGTTTGGAAGAAGCTGGTAACAACTTGTAACAACCTTGTTGATATTATCAGGCCTGTTGCAAGGTTGTTCTGACAAGTCCGTTACATGCTTGATATAACAAGAATGTTACAACCTTGTGTTGACAACCTTGTAACATCCTTGTTATATCATGGCTGTAACAAACTTGTTAGCACAGTTTTGTAACAAGGCTGATAATGCCATCAAGCTTGTTCCAAGTTGTTAACAGCTTGTTCCAAACTTGTTACAACAAACTGGGAACAAGCAGTGCGAACACAACTTGTCGACAGCTTGTGAACAGATTCGCTGGTGATTTTGAATTTCTCAGGGACAAGGTTTGTCGACATCGAGACAACACAATTTTAGGCTCAGTTTGTTCGCTAGCATTTGTTTGACCGAATTCGATCTTCGCATCTCAGGAATTGTATTGTATTGTTGAATTAGTAATACAATTTACTATAAATATTGGGAATCAGGCACGGGTGATCACTTAGTGTTGCGTAATCACTATTTCCCTCATTTCTGACTATGCCGTTGTTGTAACAAGTTTGGAACAAGCTGTTACGAGTTTGGAACAAGCGGAATAACTTGTAGAAGGCTTGATGGCATTATCGGACTTGTCACAAGGTTGTTCTAAGTCTGATGCAGTCATGATATAACAAGAATGTTACAAGGTTGACCACACAAGGTTGTAACAATATTGTTATATCATGACTGTATCGGACTTGTTGGAACAACCTTGTAACAAGTCAGATAATACCAACAAGGTTGTTACAAGTTGTTAACAGCTTGTTCCAAACTTGTTGACAACTTGTGACAAGCAGTGCGAACAGAACTTGTCGACGGCTTGTTGCATGTGTAGGACGTATTCGCAACAGGCTTGTAGCAAGCTTGTCAACAAGTTGTAAACAATGCGGTTATTTTATCAAGTTGCTACAAGGTTGTCACTCACAACAATAACAAGTTGTTGGAACAACTTGTAACAAGTTTGTTGAGTTCAACAACCTTGTAGCAGGTTGTCAACAAGTCGTTTATAACTAGGTTTTAAAACGTTTGTTCAACATGAGTTTGTCATTCAAAACTTTTTATTTCGCTCCCAAAACATTTTGTTTTGACATAATAACTTCTGTGGGCGTGGTATAAAACATATTGTTTTGCACGCGAAACTTCAAAAGGACAAACCTCAAAAGGACACTTGTATATTACAGAGGTTTGTTACGTAAACATATCCATGCAGAAGGTGCTATAAATCTGTTATTTCGCTTTCTATAGCAATTTTGTCAGTATAAAGTCAGTCCGTGTGAAAAATAAGAAGAAATTTTCGCGTGCAAAACAATGTGCTTGACACCACGCCCACAAAAGATAAATGTTATGACGTTGACGATCCACGAACATGGAAATCGGTTTGCTTAAAATGCAACCAAGCTCGCGACCTGACAAGGCCGATAACGTGTTGTTTTTAGATTTAGTGTTCAGAAGCACCTTTTCACATTGGTATCTATAGAGCATATTCAGGGTTTTGCTGAAGGTTTAGGATATTGTGAGGGTTTCAAACGTCTTCTGACTCAGTCAGCTTCCAAAAACGGAAGGGGTTCTGCGGGTCGCAATGTGAAAAGTTGCATCTGATAGTTCGTTAGTAATTGATTCTTTCTATGTACGTATATATAGTGTATTTGTCTAACATTTAGGGATCGCATGCAGTAATTGGCGCAAGCTGTTGCGATTGCCCTGCCAGTTTTCTGTGTTAACGTTGTTTAAATCTGGCAAAGTTAATAAATTAAATTAAAAGTTATTATTGCAAAACAAAAAGTTATGATTCACAAACTCATGCTGAAGAAAGGTTTTGAAACGTAGTTATAAATGCACGCTTCACGGAAGCTCGAAAATGGAAGTAATCTCACAGCCAACGTACAAGATGTGTTTATTATACAGAGGGTATTATTTACAACTTTATTAACTTTTTTATTTAACAACTATATCTAACACATTAAGTTAGTTAATCCCCTATATCAGCACCAAGACACTTTTATTATAACAGTCACGAATCATAGGCGAGTTATCAAATTCACGTCACAGTGGTAAAGGACATGTGTGACATCATGATGGTAGTTATGTAGTGAGGTTGGGTAAAATTTTTTTGTAACTTTAGTGCTCGTGCAAAACCACGCTGTCAAAATTAATGGTTGGACGAGCAAAATGTTTACCAAGAAAAACATTTCCAGGGCTGCTTAACTAATGACCCGTCGTCCCTAATTCAATGTTTGCAACCATAGACCATTTTAAACGTTTTGCGATATCGTTTCAAACGCAAGCAATAGACGAAAGGATTAGCGGCAAAATTAAGACAAAATATCGCACCTCCAACAACAAGAATGCTGTTTGTGTCTGAGGATACACCCGTACCACGAAGCAGGCTATAAATTGTTCCTGGCATCACTGTAACGACGGCAATACATGCAATTATAATTATAGTGTTTAAGAACTTCTGTTCCCTTGTGTTGTTGATTACTTGGGAATTTTTAGGCGTTTTGTTGGAGGAAAGGTCTTCACGTTGAGCACGTTCATTCTCACTCTCAACACGTTCGTTTTTGTCCTGAGCACGCCGATTGTGACTTTTAGCACGTTCATTTTCAATTTCAACACCTTTATACGGATTTTGAGCACGATCATTCTGTTTTTCGGCACGATTATTTTGATTTTCAGCACGTTCATTCAGGCTTTGATCACGTTCACTCTGACTTTTGGCACGTAAATTTTCAATTTCAGCACTTTCATACTGGTTTTGGGCGCGACGATTTTTATTTTCAGCACGTTCAACAAGGCTTTGACCACGTTCATTCTGACTTTTAGCACATTCACTTTCAATTTCATCACGTTCATACTGAAATTGGGCACGAACATTCTGCTTTTCGGCACGATGATTTTGATTTCGAGCAGGTTCATCTAGGCTTTGATCACGTTCAATCCCATTTTTAACATGATTATTACTTCCAACACAAGTTTCGCTTTCTATCGAACTGCTTTTGTTAGGCGCATACTGACTTTGCTTCGAAGAAAATGTAGTTTTTTTACCAATCATGGATCTCGCTTGCTTTCGTAACGCAAAATAAGTTTTGCCATAGACAACGGCGGTGAATAGTACCAAGACTAAAGCGATCCCTGGTTTTGCATTGGCATCATTTTCGTTGCGTGTAAAAATGTTCTTCACCGGATGAACGGAACTTAGAAACCAAATAAAAGCGATCCACATTGCCATCTTTTTTCCACTCATTAGGAACCGATGTTTGAACGGATACATTATCATCAAGTATCGATCAAGAGCGGTCGAAAAAATTGTCCACATTGATGAATAGAATGAAAAAGTTTGCAAAAAGACAACAACTGCATTCTCGGACTCGAGAGAAGTCTCTGTTATCAACATCAGATTAACGAGCAAGTCAGACAAAGCTAGATTACCAACAAGATACGTCGCAGAATTTCGAAAACATTTTAAAGGGTCTTTAATAAAAGCGATCAACAGCATTAAATTCGCTAGGATCCCGATACAACAGATTATACATCGTGGCAAATAGATAACATCGAAGCTTTTTCTGAAAGACATCGTGCACACAGCTTGCGATGCTTCGACGAAATAAAATTTGTAATGAAGATCGGTGTAGATTAATATTTAATTGTTTTTAATGCAAACACTAAGTCTGTTATTACGAAAAGCTTTCAATCCGTCAATGTCTAGGAATATATATAATTTTAAAATTTAAACTCGGTCTGTGCTAGCGATGGGAAAAAGCAGTGCGAACACATCCTGATATCGTCCTGACAACAACCTTGTTACAACTTGTTGCAGATCTATAACAACGTAGCAACTCTGCCAACAAGCCGTCAACAGGTTGTATTCGCACTGCTTGTCCCAAGTTGTCAACAAGTTTGGAAGAAGCTGGTAACAACTTGTAACAACCTTGTTGATATTATCAGACCTGTTGCAAGGTTGTTCCAACAAGTCCGATGCAGTCATGATATAACAATATTGTTACAACCTTGTGTCGTCAGCCTTGTAACATTCTTGTTATAACATGACTGTATCAGACTTGCTATAACAACCTTGTAACAAGTCTGATGATGCCATCAAGCTTGTTACAAGTTGTTAAAGTGCATATGACATGAAATGTATTATTTTCTTAAATGAAAGAACTCTTTAAGCTGTAGTGTAACTTATATTTCAGTTTCTTGTTTTTATGGTTTGTTCCCGAGATATTTCAATTTGTTTGATATGTAAATGAGTGTGAGTATGTCCGCTAATTTATGACGTCATGTTGGTTGCAAGCTCCTCAAAATGGTTGAATATCATTGCTATTATCCAAGACGATAACTTCAAACTTCACTCACCGGTAAATGTGATGAAACACTGGAGAAAAACGTGAACTGATATCTTCAGTTTTTAGAGTTAATACATTTATAACCAGTGTAAGTTGAGCTTGCAACCAACATGACGTCATAAATTAGCGGACATATTCACACTCATTTACATATCAAACAAATTGAAATATCTCGGGAACAAACCATAAAAACAAGAAACTGAAATATAAGTTACACTACAGCTTAAAGAGTTCTTTCATTTAAGAAAATAATAAATTTCATGTCATATGCACTTTAACAGCTTGTTCCAAACTTGTTACAACAACTGGGAACAAGCAGTGCGAACACAACTTGTCGACAGCTTGTGAACAGATTTGTAACAACTTGTTTGCAAACCTGTAACAACTTGTACACATTCGTTTACATTTTTAGTCACATGTCGCTATACACGTGATCCTTGCGCCGAAAAGGTCAAATTTTTTCTGTACTTATTATGTACTTTGGCCCTTGCAAGATTTGTGATCAATATTAAAACTTTCATAATCGGCTTTTAATTGCTTATAGATTAAACTTAACATCGGATTTTAATTAAAATTTTCTTAATCATTATACAGCGAGTATATTACTTACAACCTTCAATAACCTTTTTATTTAGCAACTATATATAACACGTCAAGTTTATTAATCCACTTTATCAGTAGAAAACGTTTTTATTAACAGTCACAAATTATTACAGGGGAGTTATCAAATTCATGTCGCAGAAGTGGTAAAGGACATGTATGACAACTGAATGGTATTATTTTGTAAAGTTTTTGGACAGAGGTGGGTATTTCTTTTTAATTGATATTTAAGGTTGGGTAAAAATTTTTTATAACTTTTTAATGGTAGGATCAGCAAAATGTTTATCAACAAAAAGCATTTTTCTTCGGTGCCACACCCCCCATTTTTCTTCGGTGCCCCCCCTCATAAATAATGAGCAGTCCCTAATTCAATGTTTGCAACCATAGACCATTTTAAATGTTTTCTTATATCGCTTCAAACGCAAGCAATAGACGAAAGGATTAGCGGCAAAATTAAGACAATATATCGCACTTCCAACAACAACAAGAATGCGGTTTCCCTCTAAGGATGTAACCGTTCCACGAAGCTGGAAATAAATTGCTCCAGGCATCGATGTAACGACAGCAATAGACGCAATTATAATGATAGTATTTAAGAACTTCTGTTCCTTTGCATTGCTGATTACTTGGGAATTTTGGGGGTATTTGCTGGAAAGGTCTTCACGTTGAGCACGTTCATTCTGACTTTCAACACGTTCGTTTTTATTTTGAGCACGTTGATTTTGATTTTTAGCACGTTCATTATCAATTTCACCACATTCAGACTGACTTTGAGCACGATCGTTCAGTTTTTCAGCACGATGATTTTTAATTTCAGCACGTTCATACTGATTTTGGGCGCGATCATTCAGTTTCTCGGCACGACGATGATTTTGATTTTCAGCACGTTCATCCAGGCTTTGATCACGTTCAATCTCATTTTGAACACGATTATCCTGCTTTTGAGCATATTCAACACACGTTTCGCTCTCTATCGAAATGCTTTTATTTGTGGGCGCATACTGACTTTGCGTCGAAGAAAACGTAGTTTTTTTACCAATCATGGATCTCGCTTGTTTTCGTAACGCAAAATACGTTTTGCCATAGACAACGGCGGTGAATAGTACCAAGACTAGACCGATCCCTGGTTTTGCCTTGGCATCATTTTCGTTGCGAATGAAAATATTCTTCACTGGATGGACGGAGCTTAGAAACCAAATAAATGCGATCCATATTGCCATCTTTTTCCCACTCATTAGGAACCGATGTTTGAACGGATATGTTATCATCAAGTATCGATCAAGAGCGATCGAAAAAATTGTCCACATTGATGAATAGAATGAAGCATATTGTAAAAAGACAACGACCTCATTCTCGGACTCCAAAAAAGTCCTTGTCATTAACGAAATATTAACGAGCAAGTCAGACAAAGCTAGATTACCAACAAGATAAGTTGCTGAATTTCGAAAACATTTTAAAGGGTCTTTAATAAAAGCGATCAACAGCATTAAATTCGCTAGGATTCCGATACAACAGATTATATATAGTGGCAAATAAATAACATCGAAGGTTCTTGTAAAAGACATCGTGCACACAGCTTGTGATACTTGGACGAAATAAAATTTGTAATGAAGATCGGTTTAGATTAAAATTTAATTGTTTTTTAATGAAAACACTAAGTCTATTATTTCGGAAAGCTTTTAGAATACACCGATATCGAAGGAACTAGACTCAACTCGAACGGACTTGACCGCGTAGCTCAGTTGGCAGAGCATTGGACTAGTATCCCAATAGCCTGCGAACAGGCTCTCAAGCTGAATTGAGAGCCTGCATTGATGACTAATCAATTTGAATATCTGCCCCGTAACGTTCGTTTTTGCAAATATGGAATGTCTATCCTTATATGGTGTTGTTTACAACTTTCGTGCAAACTAAATTTAGACAATGCAAACTAAATTTAGACCGTACAGTTTATACTGTTTTTCGAAATATAAGATATCGAAGCAAAAGTTTAAATGTTTTAAATACTGTTTTCTCAAAACAGAACATTTCGTGCTTTGAGATAAGATGGCCAAGACCAATTTCATCAGTTAATGTGTTTTTTATGCATAGTGCTTAGCAGTTGACATATATAGAGCTCAGCGGAATAATATAAATTATAGCATCTGACCAATGAGAATTTCGCGTCACGATTTGAGACGCAGATATTCAAATTCATTAGTCATCGATGCAGGCTCTCAATACAGCTTGAGAGCCTGTTCGCAGGCTAGTATCCCAAAGGTCGCGGGTTCGATTCCCACCGTTGCCAAGCAAACTTTTCAGCTTGCCCGGTGTGGATGCACACTCAGAGTAACATCACAAACATCGTATTCACCTGAGTATACGTAACACCAACACACACAAGCTTTCAATCCGTCAATGCTACGAATATATATATAATCTGAAAACTTAAACTCGGTCTGGTGCTAGCGCAGGCAGTGATTATAGGGACTGGGAACAAGCAGTGCGAACACGTCCTGATATCGTCTTGACAACAACCTTGTTACAACTCGTTTGCAGATCCGTAACGACACGCGCGTTTTTGCGTGGGGTACATATGCGCACTAAAATCTCACATCTTGCAGCAAATCTGCCAACAAGCCGTCAACAAGTTGTGTTCGCACTGCTTGTCACAAGTTGTCAAACAGTTTGGAATAAGCTGTTAACAACTTGTAACAACCTTGTTGACATATTATCAGAGTTGTTGCAAGGTTGTTCCAACAAGTCCGATACAGTCATGATATAACAATATTAGGGCCATTTATACGAGACAAAATAAGACGCGACTTACATAAGACGCGACTTAAATAAACGGAGTTATCGCATAAATGGTTCTCTAGGGCTTTATTCTTATTTACTTGCTATAGCTATAATGTTGTTTCGGTTGTTTTTTTTTAATATGCAAGGCTAATAATTTTACGTTGTTTCAAGTTTCTGGCATGTGTAGTTAAACTTTTTGTCCAAAATTTCTTATTTAAGACGCGACTTAGATAAGAACAGCTAAAAGGCCTGTTCTTATGTAAGACGCGTCTTATCCAAGACGCGTCTTACATAAGAATTTTGTACCTTTTATACGACAAACTCGCGTCTTATTTAAGTCGCGTCTTATGTAAGTCGCGTCTTATTTTGTTCCGTATAAATGGCCCTATTGTTACAACTTTATGTCGTCAACCTTGTAACATTCTTGTTATATCATGACTATATCAGACTTGTTAGAACAACCTTGTAACAAGTCTGATAATGCCATCAAGCTCGTTACAAGTTGTTAAGAGCTTGTTCCAAACTTGTTACAACAACTGGGAACAAGCAGTGAGGACAGAACTCGTCGACAGCTTGTTAACAGATTTGTGACAACTTGTTTGCAGACATGTAACAAAGTAACATGTTCGTTTCTAAGTTCTTTGTATGTTTGCATGGCGATAAAACATATAATAGTTTTGTTTGTGGAAACACCACGTCAATTTATTATTGCAAAGCTTTCGATCCGTAAGCCCGGATCTTCATCAGTGCTAATAATATGTATAATAACATATTATTAACAACATAATAATAACACATTATAATAACATATTATTAATAACATATTATTAGCACTGATGAAGATCCGGCCTTACGGATCGAAAGCTTTGCAGTAATAAATTTACGTGGTGTTTCCACAAACAAAACTATTATATGCAAGTGCGTATTTGTTTACATTTTTAGCCATATGTCGCTATACACATGATCTTAGCGCCGAAAAGGTCAAAATTCTTTTATACTTATTATGTACTTCGTCCTTGCAAAATTTGTGCTTTATATTAAAACTTTCATAATCGGCTTTTGGCTTATAAATTAAACTTAACATCGAAATTTAATTAAAATATTCTTAATTATTATACAGAGGATATTATTTATAATCTTTAATAACTTTTTATTTAACAACTATATATAACACGTCAAGTTTATGAATCCGCTTTATCAGTACAAGACGATTTTATTAACAATCACAAATTATTACAGGGGAGTTATCAAATTCATGTCACATGCAGAAGCGGTAAAGGACATGTGTGACAACTGAATGGTATTATTTTGTAAAGACTATTTATTTCTTAATTGATATTTGAGGTAGGGTAAAAATATTTCTAACTTTGTAATGATTAAATCAGCAAAATGGTTATCAACAAATTAAAATGTTTCTATTCGGTCCCACCCCGCCAGAAATAATGCCGTCCCTAATTCAATGTTTGCAACCATAGACCATTTTAAATGTTTTCCGATATCGCTTCAAACGCAAGCAATAGACGAAAGGATTAGCGGCAAAATTAAGACAAAATATCGCACCTCCAACAACAACAAGAATGCTGTTTGTGTCTGAGGATACACCCGTACCACGAAGCTGGACATAAATTGATCTTGGCGTCACTGTAACGACGGCAATACATGCGATTATAATGATAGTGTTTAAGAACTTCTGTTCCTTTGTATTGCTGATTATTTGAGAATTTTTAGGCCTTTTGTCGGAGGAAAGGTCTTCACGTTGAGCACGTTCATTCTCACTTCCAGCACGTTTGTTTTTATTTTGAGCACGTTGATTGCGATTTTTAGCACGTTCACTATCAATTTCACCACATTCAGACTGACTTTGAACACGATCATTCAGTTTTTCAGCACGATGATTTTGATTTTCAGCACGTTCATCCAAGTTTTGAGCACGTTCACTCCGACATTTAGCACGTTCATTTCCAATTTCAGTACGTTCACAATCGTTTTGGGAACGATCATTCCGTTTTTCGGCACGATGATTTTGATTTTCAGCACGTTCATCCATGAAGCTTTGAGCACGTTCGCTCTGACATTTAGCACGTTTACTCCCGTTTTGAACAATATTATCCTGATTTTGAGCACCTTCGCGATTTTCACTCTCAATACAAATTTCTTTCCCCATCGAATACTGACGTTGCTTCGAAGAAAATTTAGATTTTTTACCAATCATGGATCTCGCTTGTTTTCTTAACGCAAAATAAGTTTTGCCGTAGAGAACGGCAGTGAATAGTACCAAGACTAAACCGATCCCTAGTTTTGTTGCATTGGCATCATTTTCGTTGCGAATAAAAATATTCTTCACTGGATGAACGGAGCTTAGAAACCAAATAAGAGCGATCCATATTGCCATCTTTTTTACACTCATTAGGAACCGATGCTTGAACGGATATGTTATCATCAAGTATCGATCAAGAGCGATCGAAAAAATTGTCCACATTGATGAATAAAATGAAAACAAATGCAAAAAGACAACGACTGCATCCTCGGACTCCAAAAAAGTCCTTGTTAGTAACATAAGACCAACGAGCAAGTCAGACAAAGCTAGATTACCAACAAGATACGTTGCAGAATTTCGAAAACATCTTAAAGGGTCTTTAATAAAAGCGATCAATAACATTAAATTCGCTAGGATCCCGACAGAACAGATTATATATACTGGCAAAAAGATGACATCGAAGCTTTTTGTGGAAGACATCGCGTGTACAACTTGCGATGCTTTGACGAAATAAAATTTGTAATGAAGATCGGTGTAGATTAAAATTTAATTGTCTTTTAATGAAAACACCGGGTCTATTATTTCGAAAAGCTTTCAATCCATCAGTGCTACGAATATATATTAAATTAAAATTTAAACTCGACCTGTGCTAGCGTAGGCAGTAATTATAGGGACTGGGAACAAGCAGTGCGAACACATCCTGATTTTTATACTTATTATTATATGTACTTTGGTCCTTGCAAGATTTGTGATCAATATTAAAATTTTCATAATCTGCTTTTGGCTTATAAATTGAACTTAACATCGAATTTTAATTAAATTTTCTTAATTATTATACACAGGGTATTATTTATAATCTTTAATTGATATCTGAGGTTGGGTAAAAAATTTTTATAACTTTTTAATGGTTGGACCAACAAAATGTTTACCAACAAAAGCATTTGCCTTCGGTGCCACCCCCCCCAAATAATGAGCCACGCCTAATTCAATGTTGGCAACCATATATCATTTTAAACGTTTTCCGATATCGCTTCAAACGTAAGCAATAGACAAAAGGATTAACGGCAAAATTAAGACAAAATATCGCAACTAAAACGGCATTAAGAATCCTGGTTTTGTCTGGAGATGGAATTACCCAACCACCAAGGTAGCCATAAAATGATCTTGGCATCACTGTAGCGACAGTAATACATGCAATTATAATGATAGTGTTTAAGAACTTTTGTTCCTTTGTATTGTTGATTACTTGTGAATTTTTAGGCCTTTTGTTGGAGAGGTCTTCGCGTTGAGCACGTTCATTCTGACTTTCAACACGATCGTTTTTATTTTGAGCACCTTGATTGTGATTTTTAGCACGTTCATTATCAATTTCACCACATTCAGACTGCCTTTGAGCACGATCATTCAGTTTTTCAGCACGATGATTTCGACTTTCAGCACGTTCATCCAGACCTTGGGCACGTTCACTGTGACATTTAGCACGTTCGTTTTCAATTTCAGTACGTTCACAATCGTTTTGGGAACGATCATTCCGCTTTTCGGCACGAAGATTTTGATTTTCAGCACGTTCATCCATGAAGCTCTGAGCACGTTTACTCCCGTTTTGAACAATATTATCCTGATTTTGAGCACCTTCCCGATTTCCACTTTCAGTACAAATTTCTTTCTCCATCGAACTGCTTTTGCCGGGCGCATGCTGACGTTGCTTCGAAGAAAATTTAGTTTTTTTACCAATCATGGATCTCGCTTGTTTTCTTAACGCAAAATAAGTTTTGCCGTAGAGAACGGCAGTGAATAGTACCAAGATTAAAGCGATCCCTAGTTTTGTTGCATTGCCATAATTTTCGTTGCGAATGAAAATATTCTTCACTGGATGAACGGAGCTTAGAAACCAAATAAAAGCGATCCATATTGCCATCTTTTTCCCACTCATTAGGAACCGATGTTTGAACGGATATGTTATCATCAAGTATCGATCAAGAGCGATTGAAAAAATTGTCCACACTGATGAATAAAATGAAAACAAATGCAAAAAGAGAACGACTGCATTCTCGGACTCCAACAAAGTCCTTGTTAGTAACATAAGACCAACGAGCAAGTCAGACAAAGCTAGATTACCAACAAGATACGTTGCAGAATTTCGAAAACATTTTAAAGGGTCTTTAATAAAAGCGATCAACAGCATTAAATTCGCTAGGATCCCGACAAAACAGATTATATATACTGGCAAAAAGATAACATCGAAGCTTTTTACGAGAGACATCCTGCACACAGCTTGCGATGTTTCGACGAAATAAAATTTGTAATCAAGATCAGTGCGGTAGATTAAAATTTAATTGTCTTTTAATGAAAACACTATATAGGTCAATTATTGCGAAAAGCTTTCAATCCTTCAGTGCTACGAATATATATTAAATTAAAATTTAAACCCGATCTGTGCTAGCGTATAGGCAGTAATTATAGGGACTGGGAACAAGCAGTGCGAACACATCCTGATTTTTATACTTATTATTATATGTACTTTGGTCCTTGCAAGATTTGTGATTTTTATACTTATTATTATATGTACTTTGGTCCTTGCAAGATTTGTGATCAATATTAAAATTTTCATAATCGGCTTTTGGCATATAACTTAACATCGAATTTTAATTAAATTTTCTTAATTATTATACAGAGGGTATTATTTATAATCTTTAATAACTTTTTTTATTTAACAACACGTCAAGTTTATTAATCCGTTTTATCAGTACCAAGACGTTTTATTAACAGACACAAATTATTACAGGGGAGTTATCAAACTCATGTCACAGAAGTTGTAAAGGACATGTGTGACAACTGCATGGTATTATTTTGTAAAGTTTTTGGACAGAGATGGGTAGTTCTTTTTAATTGATATTTACTGTCGATGCAATGGAAGTGTTGATAAAATATTGCATGAATTCATTTCCTCAAGTTGATCAATTCATACGAATTCAAATTTCTTTTTACTTCCCGTGCCTTTCCTATTGGTCAATCGGTTCTGAAACGAAATCTAATTGGCTCATCCAAAAGTAACAGGAAGTTGATCAATTTTCTATCAAATGAATGGACCTTTCCCCTTATAACTAAAATTTCGATCTGGACAAAAATTTCATCACAGCTTGAAAGAGCATCACAAAATTAGTAATATTCCAAAGTTTTGTTGCAAAATCTTGTAAAATGCGGATAATATAGCCTTGCGAAGTTTGCCGTTTTTCAGTCAATTTGTATTACAAACGGGAAATTGACATCCGATTCGGGTGTTGGGGCTGCAATTTTCCGCTTGTAATGCAAAATGACTGAAAATTGCAAACTCCGCAAGGCTCTATTTTACTCATTTTACAACATTTCGCAACGAAACTTTGGAATATTACTAATTTTGTGATGCTCTTTCAAGCTGTGATGAAATTTTTGTCTAGACTTGCCTAGATCAAAATTTTGGTTATAAGGGGAAAGGTCTATTGATCAACTTGAGGGAAGGAATTGGTGCAATATTTTATCAACACTTCCATTGCATCGACTGTAAGGTTGGGTAAAATTTTTTTTATAACTTCTTAATGGTCGGATCAACAAAATGCTTACCAACAAAAGCATTTGCCTTCGGTGCCAACCCCTCATATAAATAATGAGCCACGCCTAATTCAATGTTGGCAACCATAGACCATTTTAAACGTTTTCCGATAACGCTTCAAACGCAAGCAATAGACGAAAGGATTAACGGCAAAATTCAGACAAAATATCGCAACTAAAACAGCTGGAAGAATCCTGTTTTTGTCTGCGGATGCAATTACCCAACCACCAAGGTAGCCATAAATTACTCCTGGCATCACTGTAACGACAGCAATACATGCAATTATAATTATAGTGTTTAAGAACTTCTGTTCCCTTGTATTGCTCATTATTTGGGAATTTTTAGGCGTTTTGTTGGAGGAAAGGTCTTCACGTCGAGCACGTTCATTCTGACTTTCAACACGATCGTTTTTATTTTGAGCAAGTTGATTGCGACTTTCAGCACGTTCATTTTCAATTTCAGCACGTTCATACCGATTTTGGGAACGGTCATTCTGTTTCCCGGCAAGATGATTTTGATTTTTAGCACGTTCATCCAGGCTTTGATCACGTTCACTCTGACTTTTGGCACGTTCATTTTCAATTTCAGCACGCTCATACTGATTTTCAGCACGTTCATCCAGGCTTTAAGCACGTCCAATTCCATTTTGAACACGATTATCCTGATTATCCTGATTTTCACTTTCAACACAAATTTTGCTTTCCATCGAAATGCTTTTGTCGAGCGCATACCGACTTTGCTTCGAAGAAAATGTAGTTTTTTTACCAATCATGGACCTCGCTTGTTTTCGTAACGCGAAATAAGTTTTGCCGTAGAGAAGGGCGGTGAATAGTACCAAAGCTAAAACGATCCCTCGTACTGTAGTGACGTCATTTTCTTTGGGAATAACAATACTCTTCACTAGATGAACGGCGCTTAGAAACCAAATAAGAGCAATCCATATTGCCATCTTTTTCCCACTCATTAGGAACCGATGTTTGAACGGGTAGGTTATCATCAAGTATCGATCAAGAGCGATCGAAAAAATTGTCAGCATTGATAAATAAAATGAAAAATATTGCAATACGACAACGACCGCATTCTCGAACACCCAAAAAGTGTTTGTCATCGTCACAACATTAACGAGCAAGTCAGACAAAGCTAGATTACCAACAAGATACGTCGCAGAATTTCGAAAACATTTTAAAGGGTCTTTAATGAAAGCGATCAATAGCATTACAGGTAAACTACGTGAAGCGTTCCTCTTTTAAGTTCCTAACTTGATTGCAATTTTCCTCATTACCTTAGCAAATTTGAAAAACTCCCTTGCAAATCCCTTGAGGGAATTTGCAATGTTCAAGAGCCAAATAAATTTTCCTCAGTTCCTGTTAGAAGTTCTTAACTTCCTGTTACAAGTTCCTAACTTCCTGTTCTGTTCTTCGCATTCTAATTGGCTAACAAAAATAATCCGCCAATGATAACGCTCAGAAAGAACAGGAAGTCAGGAAATTAAAACAGGAAGTTAGGAAAATTTGAAAGGAACTTTATTTGCGTTGGAATATTGCAACGGCCGACAGGAAAATTGCAAATTCCCTCAAGGATTTGCAAAGCGTTTTTCAAATTTGCAAAGCAGATTATGAAAATTCCAAATGAGTTAGGAACTCAAAAGAGGAACGCTTCACGTAGTTTACCTGTAAATTCGCTAGGATCCCGATACAACAGATGATTTGTACTGGCAAAGAGGTATTACCATCGAAGTTTTCTGCGGAAGACATCCTGTGTGACACGGCTTGCGATGCCTCAACGAAATAAAATTTGTAATGAAGATCGGTGTAGATTAAAATTTAATTGTTTTTAATGAAAACACTAAGTCTATTACTTCGGAAAGCTTTCAATCCGTCAATGCTAAGAATATATATTAAATTTAAACTCGGTCTGTGCTATAGCGAAAGCTGCATGCAGTGATTAGGGACTATACTCATTACTCATGGCAGAGGTTAGCACCGAATAGAAATGTTTTTCCACGTAAAAATCTTCCATTAAAAAGTAAAAAAGATGTTTTACCTAACCTCGAATATCATTTAAAAAATAAATAACCACCCCTGACCGAAAACATCACAAAAGGATACCATTCAGTTGTCACACATGCCCTTTATTATTATTATTATTATTATTAAATTTGTCACAAATATTTACAATGACACTGATAAACAATATACATAACAAGCTGCAAGACAACACACGTGACTGGAATGTGGAACAGGACTTACGTCCCAATTAATACCTCACCCCATATATACTTCATAGGCACTTTCTCGGTGTGAGAACAAACAAATACCACTTCTATGACATGAGTTTGATAACTGCTTCTGCAATTTTCTGCAGACTAAAGTTTCATGTTGTCTGCACATGTACTTTCTTTGGAGACACCAATTGCCTCCTGAGAAATCGGAAAATGATCAAGATAGTGACTCTGATTGATTTACATATTGTATTGACATACGACTGTTGACATTGCTTTTTAGTCTTCAATATTGGAGTGAGTCATGCTTTGGAAACGACTAAAAATGTTATTACCCAACCCTCCTTGAGTTGTTGTGTTTTTCATTTACCCAACCTTTTACTCACTCAAAATGTTATTTATCCGACTCTTTTCTCTTCGGTGCCAGATTGCTTCCAGCCTGCGTATCAGGCGCTATTTAGGGGGAGGGCGAGGGTGGCCTCCCCCCTAAATAGCGCCTGCTACGCAGGCTAGATTGCTTCCTTATAAGCAAGCGGATAATAAGCGCCTTTGTGTGAACACAAACGCAAGCATCTCAGATTTCAAAACAATAAATTCGAATGCGCTCTTCGTTTAAATTCCTTTGCTCTATTTGAAATACTTTGGGTTTACATTGAGTTCTAAATTAATTATAAATTCTGCCCACATTATTTCATTCCAATAGTCTGAATTCAACATTTACAACCATAGACGATTTTAAATGTTTTCCGATATCGCTTTAAACGCAAACAATAAATAAAAGGATTTGCGGCAAAATTAAGACAATATATCGCACTTATAACAACAAGAATCATTATGTTTCCCTCCGTACCAGAAAGCAGGATATAAATTACCCCTGGCACCACTGTAACGACAGCAATACATGCAATTATAATTATAGTGTTTAAGAACTTCTGTTCCTTTGTATTGCTCATTACTTGGGAATTTTTAGGCGTTTTGTTGGAGGAAAAGTCTTCACGTTGAGCACGTTCATTCTGACTTTCAACACGTTCGTCTTTATTTTGAGCACGTTGATTGTGATTTTTACCACGTTCGTTTTCAATTTCAGCACGTTCATACGGACTTTGAGCATGATCATTCTGTTTTTCGGCACGATGATTTTGATTTTCAGCACGTTCATCCAGGCTTTGATCACGTTCACTCTGACTTTCGGCAGGTAAATTTTCAATTTCAGCACGTTCATGCTGGTTTTGGGCACGATGATTTTTATTTCTAGCACGTTCATCCAGGCTTTGATCACGTTCAATCCCATTTTGAACACGATTATCCAGATTTTGAGCACGTTCGCGATTTTCACTTTCAACACATGTTTTGCTTTCCATCGAAATGCTTTTGTTGGGCGCATACCGACTTTGCTTCGAACAAACTGTTGTTTTTGCACCAATCATGGATCTCGCTTGCTTTCGTAACGCAATATAAGTTTTGCCGTAGAGAAGGGCAGTGAATAGTAACAAAGCTGAAGCGATCCCTCCTTTTGCATTGCCATCATTCTCGTTGGCCGGAATACGAATAATCTTCACTGGATGAACGGAGCTTAGAAGCCAAATAAATGCGATCCATATTGCCATCTTTTTCCCACTCATTAGGAACCGATGTTTGAACGGGTAGGCGATCATCAAGTATCGGTCAAGAGCGATCGAAAAAATTGTCAACATTGATGAATAGAATGAAAAATATAACAAAAAGGTAACGACATCATTCTCGGACGCCAAAAAAGTCCTTGTCATGAACATAAGATCAACCAGCATGTCAGACAAAGCTAGATAACCAACAAGATACGTCGCAGAATTTCGAAAACATTTTAAAGGGTCTTTAATAAAAGCGATCAACAGCATTAAATTCGCTAGGATCCCGACAGAACAGATTATATATACTGGCAAATAGATAACATCGAAGCTTTTTGTGGAAGACATCATGTGTACACTGCTTGCGATTGCGAAGCTTCGACAAAATAAAACTTGTAATGAAGATCGGTGTAGATTAAAATCTAATAGCTTTTTAATGAAAACACCAGGTCTATTATTGCGGAAAGCTTTCAATCCGTCAATGTTACGAATATATATTAAATTTAAATTTAAACTCGGTCTCTGCTATAGCGTAAGCACGCAGTGATTAGGGACTGCTCATTATTTATGACAGGGGTGCATGCATGGCACCGAATAGAAATGTTTTTCAAGGTAAAAATGTTGCTGATCCAAACATTAAAAAGTCAAAAGATGTTTTACCTAACCTCGAATATCATTCAAAAAATAAATAACCACCCCTGACCGAAAACATCACAAAAGGATACCATTCAGTTGTCACACATGTCCTTTATACCACTTCTATGACATGAGTTTGATAACTGCTTGTGCAATTTTCTGCAGTCTAAAGTTTCATATTGCCAGGCCTCCTGAGAAATCGGGAAATGATCAAGATAGTGACTCTGATTGATTGATTTACCTATTGTATTGACATATGACTGTTGACATTGCTTTTTATAGTCTTCAATATTGGAGTGAGTCATGCTTTGGAAACGACTAAAAATTTTATTACCCAACCCTCCTTAAGTTGTTGTGTTTTTCATTTACCCAACCTTTTACTCACTCAAAATGTTATTTATCCGACCCTTTTCTCTTCGATGCCAGATTGCTTCCTTATAAGCAAGCGGATAATATTAAGTGAGTGGCTTTGTGTGAACACAAACGCAAGCATCTCAGGTTTCAAAACAATAAATTCGAATGCGCTCTTCGTTTAAATTCCTCTGCTCTATTTGAAATACTTTGGGTTTACATGAGTTCTAAATTAATTATAAATTCTGCCCACATTATTTCATTCCAATAGTCAGAATTCAACATTTACAACCATAGACGATTTTAAACGTTTTCCGATATCGCTTCAAACGCAAACAATAAACAAAAGGATTTGCGGCAAAATTAAGAGAATATATCGCACTTATAACAACAAGAATCATGTTTGTCTCCGTACCAGAAAGCAGGATATAAATTGTTCCTGGTATCACTGTAACGACAGCAAAACATGAAATTATAATTATAGTGTTTAAGAACTTCTGTTCCTTTGTATTGTTGATTACTTGGGAATTTTTAGGTGTTTTGTTGGAGGAAAAGTCTTCACGTTGAGCACGTTCATTCTGATTTTCAACACGTTCGTTTTTATATTGAGCACGTTGATTGAGATTTTCAGCACGTTCATTTTCAATTCCAGCACGTTCATACGGATTTTGAGCACGATCATTCTGCTTTTCGGCACGATGATTTTGATTTTCAGCACGTTCATCCAGGCTTTGATCACGTTCACTCTGGCTTTCGGCACGTTCATTTTCAATTTTAGCACGTTCATACTGGTTTTGGGCACGATGATTTTGATTTTGAGCACGTTCATCCAGCCTTTGAACACGTTCAATCCCATTTTGAGCACAATTATCCTGATTTTGAGCGCGTTCGCGATTTTCACTTTCAACACAAGTTTCGCTTTCCATCGAAATGCTTTTGTTGGGCGAATACTGACTTTGCTTCGAACAAACTGTAGTTTTTTTACCAATCATGGATCTCGCTTGTTTTCTTAACGCAAAATAAGTTTTGCCGTAGAGAACGGCGGTGAATAGTACCAAAGCTAAAGCGATCCCTAGTTTTGCATTGATACCATTTTCGATGGCCGGAATACGAATAATCTTCACTGGATGAACGGAGCTTAGAAGCCAAATAAGAGCGATCCATATTGCCATCTTTTTCCCACTCATTAGGAACCGATGCTTGAACGGGTAGGTGATCATCAGGTATCGGTCAAGAGCGATCGAAAAAATTGTCCACATTGATGAATAAAATGAAAACAAATGCAAAAAGACAACGACCTCATTCTCCGACTCCAGAGACATCCTTGTTATTGATATAAGATTAACGAGCACGTCAGACAAAGCTAGATTACCAACAAGATACGTCGCAGAATTTCGAAAACATTTTAAAGGGTCTTTAATAAAAGCGATCAACAGCATTAAATTCGCTAGGATTCCGATACAACAGATTATATATAATGGCAAAAAGATAACATCGAAGCTTTTTCTGAAAGACATCGCGTACATAACTTGCAATGTTTCGACAATTTGTAATGAAGATCGGTGCATGCAGATTAAAATTTAATAGGTTTTTAATGAAAACACCGGGTCTATTATTACAGAAAGCTTGAAAATCCGCCAGTGCTCAGAAGATATATTAAATTTAAATTCGCATCGTCTCTGCTAACGTATAGGTAATGATGTTCCTACTTTCTTTGGAGACACAACTTGCCTCCTGATAAATCAGAAAATGATCAAGATATAGTGACTCTAATTGATATACAGATCGTATATCAACATGTGATTGTGGATATTGCATTTTAGTCTTCAATATTTGAGTGATCGATTCATGCTTTGGAAATGACAATATATTTTTATTACCCAACCCTTGAGTCGTTTGGTTTTTCATTTACCCAACCTTTTACTCACCCAAAATTTTGTTTACCCAACCCTTTTCTCTTCGTTGCCAGATTGTTCCCTTATAAGCAAGCGACATTTTTTGTCAACACCAATTTTTTGCTGAACGGCACATGCAGTTGGAAAATGTAAACAAAAAACAGACATTAATAGACATAGATGCTCATGCAAGCAGTGTTAGCCAGTAACAAAGTAAATTTACTTCGTTGCTTTACTTAAGCAAAAAAATCAGTATTTACTTGTAACGAAGTATTTTTTTAATGAAGTATAATTTTTACTTGTACCGAAGTACGATTTTTGGTAAATATTTACTTTTTTACTTCGTTACTTTTGTTATATTTTGACGAAGTAAAAAAGCGGTGAGTGGACTGGAATATATATATGGAAGTATTTAAAAAAATAAAGTTGTTTTACCACGTTACTTAAACGCTTGAATGTTCTATTCCTACTTAAACCATTGCGAATTTATATTCTATTTCAGTAGTACTTTTACTTAAGTATATTTTCCCAATACTTTTCTTTCACGTATAAGTAAAATTGTCAGGCAGTACTTTTACTTTTACTTAAGTAAAATTTTCAATCAGTATTTTCACTTCTATTTAAGTAAAAATTGAGGTGTTACTTTTCACTTTTACTTAAGTAAATATTTTGAGTACTTTGCAGCTGAACACTGCATACAAGATTAACAAAGCTTCAAACTCAAACTGAAATAATTAAAACGTGATATTTAATACTCTTGTTGCTAAAAACGTTTATTAAAAACATCAATCATTAATGTCGACTGAAATAAACAAATGTATATAATTATTAAATGAATTATTAAATAAATTATTAAGATTCTCAGTGCACCAAAATTATTTTTTTCTTTCAAATATATGACATTAAGTTTAACAACTTGTTAGTGTCACACAGTTACTGTATAGGAGTGTTGATTTATACTTGATCACTGGCAAAAAACTTCAATATTCCCTAGCGCGATTCCAGAAAGTAAAATATTTGTCTACGCCTATAGGTCGTTACTTTCGGCAACGGAATACGATAAATAGTGTCTTTCGGTAATTTTTCAAACGGAGAAAATAAATCACAGGATTGATGGCAAAATTTAGAGTCAGCAGTGTCATTAAGACACAATACAGAGCATTGCTTTCCATTTTCGCGTCCAAACCAGGCTGCTCGACCTGACCATAAATCGTAGCGGGAGTCAGACTAACGACAGCTATAACGGCGACAATTATCACAGTTTTTAAGAAGCGTTCTTCGTTCGCGGCTCGAATCCTATGAGCGTGCATCTTCTCTTCTTTATTCGCTAAACTTTTCGCCTGTCTTTTCAAAGATACGAACGTCAGAACGTACAAAAACGCCGTCAACACGATAACCGTAGCTAAAAGTCCGTACTTAAATTCGCTGATGCCATTAAATGTACCAGTTAAGATATGACACAACGGGCTTGCGATGCTAGCGATCCAAATAAACACGATCCATATACCGGCTTTTTTGCCGCTCATCAATAAACGATGTTTGAATGGATATGCCACCATGACATAACGGTCAACAGCTATTGATAATATTGTCAAAATCGACGCATAGAACGACGTGTGGGAGAGCGAACGGACGTATAGATCCAAGGAGTTGAACATACCAAAAATCATTTCCAATACAACGGCGAGATCGCACACGGCCAAATTCGCAACCAAGTAAGTCGACGAGTTCCGAAAGCATTTTAGAGGATTTTTGATCAAGCATATTAACAGTACCATTTGTGATATCGCTCCAGCTATACACACAGCATACAGAGACCAGTACATGGTGTTGTAGCCAACGAATATATTTGGAACAGCCATTTTGTAGAGTATCTCTTTCCTTTTCGACACAATTAATGCATGAACGCATTCAAAAGCCAAATGCATCTGCTGTTGAGCTCTCTGCATGTTGAAGTTTACACAAATGACGGTTTTTAATAATCTTTTAAATTAAAATATAGGATTTATGTACTTAATTATTAAGAGGCAATTTCTTCTATGTCGTGCACTTGCGATAAAGTGTCCAAAATCGAAAATCGTTTTGGTGTATCTCTCAAAATTGCTATGTTTTTGCTTTATTCTCTATAGTTTATACAGCTAGCTACTTTTTAAATGCATTTCCCGGTTGAGAAACATAAAATAATATAGTAAAAATTAAATTGTTAATTAAAAATACAATTATCAATCATGCTTTAAAAGTGACGTCATATTTTGCAGCAATATAAGCAAAACTTACTGAACTTCAGACATCATAGATAAAGTACAAAACATACTTTTTAAGTTTGTTTGCCGGTTAAGAAACGCATCAAAAAATTTTATTTTTCAATATAGTCATATTAAGGCGGTACATCATACTCATTAAAGTTTTGAACGAGTGTTACGTAGCATACAAAAAAATCTTCTCTAGTTAAGGAAGTTTATACGCATGTACTATAAGACGGCGAGTTCGGGACGATGGCTAAACAAACTGTTTAAAATAAATAATTGTGTGGAAATCTTGTTTTGTATTTACTTTCGTATGAATTTCGAACGAGTAAAACAGAGCTTTAACCATGGGACGACGTCTAAAACTCCTGCTAGACTTTCATAGACGAGTTTGTCTAAATAATTACGTACTGTATTTATTATTGTTAAAATTATTAGAATTTATATAAATCAATTAAAAATAATGACATGCAAGCATGACTTTGCAAGCTCACGCATGCGTGACTAAGTATTTTGACGTTATATAGTTTTTAACATTTGGCTAATCTCAGCTCACAATTTGAATACAACTCTTTGAATAGTAAAGGCGATCATTCAACTTATCAGCAACTTATCGACTTATCATTCACTTATAGCTCTGACCAAACTCAGCCCGGGTTGAAACTGCTCATGTAATCGTGATGCAATTTCAGCTCGTTTAACCGGGCTGAAACTCAGCCCGGGCTGAAAACTCTCCATGTAATCAGCCCCTCAGACCGGTCTCGGCTGTAACCTTGACATTGGAACAACATTTGTTAACAAAAGCCACATCTGAAAAACAAAATTGCCTGGCAAAGGAAATAAATTGAAAATTTTGTGATTTTCGTACCGGTCTCGTGTAAACATGTTGACAATTTCAATTTTCATCTGGGTTTGACTTCGTCCTAGCCTCCTGCTTAGCCTGTGTAGCGGGCGGTAGAAGCTAGAAATACAGCCTGCCCAAAACCTACACATTCTGAGTTCCGCCCACCGAACGCATGGTCCCGCCCATCTTAATGTATTTATTTGTCAAACTCACGTATTGCAAATTTACGGTTTTGACGTTTCATATCTTCGGTTCGTTCAATGCTATAAAGACAAAAATACCACGTTCCATTCAGTGTAACAATATGTCTTCATTCATAGCGATAGTTTTAGTCGATGTCAACATTATAGCGATTTATGAGCTTTGAAAGTCAAGCGAGTTCGTATATTATCAAATTAGGCAATTGTCTGAACAAAAATATAGACTAACCATACCTTTAATTAATTAAATTAAATTTTAATTAATTAATTAATTAATTAATTAATACCACATATAATAATACCGAACATAACTTATGGCGCTTCGGACGTAACTTCTTTGTAATAGTCTTGTTCAAATCGCTATCAGAAACACTACTTAGAGTGTCATTTTCGAGCCTGTATCTAATTCAAATCTGCACTTTTATCACGATATTAGGGGCCACGTCCATATTCATGTTGCCACGCATAACGTCGAACCGACGAACCGCCCACCCACCTCAGATAACGTCGATCGTTACCTTGGCGCATTTTGACCACTACAAAAGCTCAAAATCAAAATGGCAACCAAAATATGGTATATACTCAATCAATTTATCTCAGAAATGCATTAAAATGCCGAGGCTTCAATTCAAAGTTTTTTACTATTGTACTTGCCTTCGTTGCCGCCAATTAATGTAGGATCTTTATTATAAAATATGAGAAACTTTATCGCAGAAAAATGTCGTGATTCGACATTTCGACACTTCGACCTTTGTTTTGCATGACCTCTATTAGTTGAAAACACATTAAATATTTAAAATTCGGTCTGTTCGGATGTAAATAGTCAGATTGCCACGAGATAACGTCGAGGAGTTGACGTAAAAACCCACCCACCGACCGATAACGTCGATTCGACGTTATAAAGAATTCAACGCTTAATTCTCAATTAATACATCCGTTTAATATTTTTTCGTTAGCGTATACCATCACTCGATATATCGGTATTGAAAATGACAATAGTTTATAATACGGCAACAGTAACTTCTAAAATTAGCACTAATTATTCTAATTCTTTAATACTCCTGTCAATCAAAAATTTTAAATCAACATTCTGATCAATCAGAATGCTCCGTTACCCAGCTGTCGGAGAATTCAGAATGTGTAGTTTTTGGGCAGGCGGTATTTCTAGCGTCCAATTCTCTCGTCCCCGCAAATACCGCCTGCTATGCAGGCTACCTCCTGCGCAAACGTTGTTAGTGGCTAACTTAACTTCGTCCGTGCACTGAAATGAATTTTTTCCTTTCATATCGAAAATGAGAAAATAAATATAATATTAGAGAACATAAAAACAACTATATTTCACATTGGAAACAGCAAATAACCAATTCCACAAAACTATTATTTTACTGTAAATTTAAAAAAAATATGAATTGGAACAATATTTAACTACCATAAAAAATCCATCCCAAAGACGAACGTTCACAAAATTCAGGATTAGTAATCACAAATTATTAATCGAATATGGTCGTTACCAAAAAATACCTCGTGATGAAAGACATTGTATGTAAAACCTGCGACGCTGATGCGGTTGAAGACGAATTTCACTTTGCATTCGAGTGTCCAAGTTATAGTAGCATTAGGAACAATGCAAACAACATATTAAAAAATATTTTTCAGATGAACATTACAATACCCTGGTTCCCGAGGTTTAAAAGTAAACCTCTGGTTGAAAGCGGCAATTGATTCATCGAACCGCGCCAATCAGTTTGAATTTAGGCCACATCCTGACTATGTCTCTTGATTGGATGATTGTATTAAAGCTCTCTGATTGATTCAAATAAAACACTTATAACCAATCAGAGAGCTTTAATACAATCATCCAATCAGGAGACAGAGTCAGGATCTGACCCTGATTCAAACTGATTGGCGCGCGGCTCGATGAATCAATTGCCGCTTCCAACCAGAGGTTTATTTTTCCCCTCCCCTTCGCAATGAAAATAATAAAAATAAACCTCTGGAACCAGGTAACATTACAACGGATTCAAAACAAAACTTGTTAACGCATGTGATGTCATGTGATGACTTACTTATAATTGAGCTATTTTCTAGCTTTATTACAAAATGTTTTTGCCTTAGAGACGGATGCTTTAAACCTAGGCATACTCCTTAATTACTATAATATATATATATTCTTTTGTTTATACTATGTATTATTATATACTTTTAAGAAACTTTAATATACTACACAGTAGTCATAACATTTGTTCTTAGTAGTCATAACATTTGTTCATTGGTTCTTGTTCATTTGTTATAAGAAAGTCAATGCTCCTAATAGCACTTCTACTTAATACTTTAGCAATACCTGTACAGGTCATGCCAATAAAGTTGTTAATAATAATAATAATAATAATAATAATAATACTCAGTTTAACAATTTGTTAGCATCACACAGTTACTGTACGAGTGTTGATTTACTTGATCACTGGCGAAAAACTTCAATATTCCCCTGCGTGATTCCAGAGAGTAAAATATTTGTCTCCCCTATAGATCGTTACTTTCGGCAACAGAATACGATAAATAGTGTCTTTCGGTAATTTTTCAAACGGAGAAAATAAATCACAGGATTGATGGCAAAATTTAGAGTCAGCAGTGTCATTAAGAAACAGTACAGAGCATTGCTTTCCATTTTCGCGTCCAAACCAGGCTGCTCGACCTGACCATAAATCGTAGCGGGAGTCAGACTAGCGACAGCAATAACGGCGACAATTATCACAGTCTTTAAGAAGCGTTCTTCATTAGCTACTCGAATCTTATCAGCATGCATCTTCTCTCCCTTATTTGCTAAACTTTTCGCCTGTCTTTTCAAAGATACGCATGTGAGAACATACAAAAACGCCGTCGACACGATAACCGTAGCTAAAAGTCCGTACTTAAATTCGCTGATTCCATTAGATGTACCAGTTAGGATATGATAAAACGGGCTTGCGACGCTAGCGATCCAAATAAACACGATCCATATACCGGCTTTTTTGCCGCTCACCAACAAACGATGTTTGATTGGGTATGCCACCATAACATAACGGTCAACAGCTATTGATAATATTGTCAAAATCGACGCATAGAACGATGTGTGGGAGAGCGAACGGACGTATAGATTTAATGAGTTGAACATACCAAAAATCATTTCCAATACAACGGCGAGATCGCACACGGCCAAATTCGCAACCAAGTAAGTCGACGAGTTCCGAAAGCATTTTAGAGGATTTCTGATCAAGCATATTAACAGTACCATTTGTGATATCGCTCCAGCTATACACACAGCATACAGAGACCAGTACATGGTGTTGAAGCCAACGAATATATTTGGAACAGCCATTTTGTAGAGTTCACTAAAAAATCTCCTTTCGTCTCGAAACAATTAATGCATGAATGCATTCAAAATCCAAATGCACCTGCCGCATGTTCTCTATTGAAGTTTACACAAATGATGGGGGTTTTTTTAATAATCTTCTTAGAAATCTTAAAATATAGGATTTATGTACTTAATTATTAAGAGGCAATTTCTTTTTTGTCGTGCATTTGCGATAAAGTGTTCAAAATCGAAAATCGTTTTGGCGTTTCCTCTCACGATTGCTATGCTTTAGCTTTGTTCTCTATAGTTTATACAGTTAGCTACTTTTTAAAGGTATTTCCCGGTTGGGAAACATAAAATAATAGTATTAGACTATAGTAAAAATTAAATTGTCGATTACAATTACCATATTGATGCTTTAAAAGTGACGCCATATTTACAGCATGAATATACCAAAACTTTAGCATTATTTTACAGATAAAATACTAAAAGATTTATTTTTCTATGTAGTCATAATTGTTGCCAAGGGATATTATACTCATTAGACGTCGTGAAAATGGCGTGTTGTGCCATGTACGAATATGCCACGCCATTTTGACGCCATTTTCGCGTCGTCTTTGACGTCCGCGTCCTCGATCTAAATCTGTCTATTATAGTTTTGAACGCGTGTTACGTAACTGAACATACAAAAAAATCTTCTCTAGTTAAGAAAGTTTACGCATGTATTAAAAGGCGACAAGGTCGGGCACAATCATTATGATTTTGAGAACGATATACTGATTTTGAGCACAATCATATTGAATTTGCGCACGATCATTTGTTGATTTTAAGCACGATATTCTGATTTTGAGCACGCGATCATTCTGATTTTGAGGAAGATCATTCTGATTTTGAGCACGATCATTCTGAATTTGAGCACGCTCATTCTGATCTTGAGCACAATCATTTTAATTTTGAGCACGATACTTGGGTTTTAACACGATCAATTTCATTTCTTGAACGAATAATTTTATTTAGGTTAATTTTTATGGTAAGATATTTTTCATTTCTACGCCGATTCTCGCAAAAAATTATTTGAACACGATCATTCTGATGTCGAACAAACATACATTATAAACCGTATAATAAAAGAGATATGTCCCACAAACCTTTCCTCTCGATTCTTTCTCACTCTCTCCATGCGTTCTGCTCTTTCCTTTTTGTCTGCCTCTTTCTAAAATACAAATATACGATCATGGAATCAATTTGGGTCAAACCCTGAACTACCTGAAAAAGATATCTCAAACGTGGTAATCTAGTGTAGGTAGTAGGCCTATTCTACAATAAGCTGCCGTGGTTTGTGTCTAAACTGCCTGAAAAAGATATCTCAAACGTGGTGGTCCAGTGTAGGTAGTACTGTATTCTACAATAAGCTGCCGTGGTTTGTGTCTGAACTACCTGAAAAAGATATCTCAAACGTGGTGGTCCAGTGTAGGTAGTATTCTACAATAAGCTGTCGTGTTTTGTGTCTGAACTACCTGAAAAAGATATCTCAAACGTGGTGGTCCAGTGTAGGTAGTATTCTACAATAAGCTGCCGTGGTTTGTGTCTGAACTACCTGAAAAAGATATCTCAAACGTGGTGGTCCAGTGTAGGTAGTATTCTACAATAAGCTGTCGTGGTTTATGTCTGAACTACCTGAAAAAGATATCTCAAACTTGGTGGTCCAGTGTAGGTAGCATTCTACAATAAGCTGCCGTGGTTTGTGTCTGAACTACCTGAAAAAGATATCTCAAACGTGGTGGTCCAGTGTAGGTAGTATTCTACAATAAGCTGTCGTGGTTTGTGTCTGAACTACATGAAAAAGATATCTCAAACGTGGTGGTCCAGTGTAGGTAGTACTGTATTCTACAATAAGCTGCCGTGGTTTGTGTCTGAACTACCTGAAAAAGATATCTCAAACGTGGTGGTCCAGTGTAGGTAGTATTCTACAATAAGCTGTCGTGGTTTGTGTCTGAACTACATGAAAAAGATATCTCAAACGTGGTGGTCCAGTGTAGGTAGTACTGTATTCTACAATAAGCTGCCGTGGTTTGTGTCTGAACTACCTGAAAAAGATATCTCAAACGTGGTGATCCAGTGTAGGTAGTATTCTACAATAAGCTGTCGTGGTTTGTGTCTGAACTACCTGAAAAAGATATCTCAAACGTGGTGGTCCAGTGTAGGTAGTATTCTACAATAAGCTGCCGTGGTTTGTGTCTGAACTACCTGAAAAAGATATCTCAAACCTGGTGGTCCAGTGTAGGTAGTATTCTACAATAAGCTGCCGTGGTTTGTGTCTGAACTACCTGAAAAAGATATCTCAAACGCGGTGGTCCAGTGTAGGTAGTATTCTACAATAAGCTGTCGTGGTTTGTGTCTGAACTACCTGAAAAAGATATCTCAAACGTGGTGGTCCAGTGTAGGTAGTATTCTACAATAAGCTGCCGTGGTTTGTGTCTGAACTACCTGAAAAAGATATCTCAAACGTGGTGGTCCAGTGTAGGTAGTATTCTACAATGAGCTGTCGTGGTTTGTGTCTGAACTACCTGAAAAAGATATCTCAAACGTGGTGGTCCAGTGTAGGTAGTATTCTCCAATAAGCTGTCGTAGTTTGTGTCTGAACTACTTAAAAAAGATATCTTAAACGTGGTGGTCCAGTGTAGGTAGTATTCTACAATAAGCTGTCGTGGTTTGTGTCTGAACTGCCTGAAAAATATATCTCAAACGTGGTGGTCCAGTGTAGGTAGTATTCTACAATAAACTGCCGTGATTTGTGTCTGAACTACCTGAAAAAGATATCTCAAACGTGGTGGTCCAGTGTAGGTAGTATTCTACAATAAGCTGCCGTGGTTTGCGTTTGAACTACCTGAAAAAGATATCTCAAACGTCGTGGTCCAGTGTAGGTAGTATTCTACAATAAGCTGTCGTGGTTTGTGTCTGAACTACATGAAAAAGATATCTCAAACGTGGTGGTCCAGTGTAGGTAGTATTCTACAATAAGCTGTCGTGGTTTGTGTCTGAACTACATGAAAAAGATATCTCAAACGTGGTGGTCCAGTGTAGGTAGTATTCTACAATAAGCTGCCGTGGTTTGCGTTTGAACTACCTGAAAAAGATATCTCAAACGTCGTGGTCCAGTGTAGGTAGTATTCTACAATAAGCTGTCGTGGTTTGTGTCTGAACTACATGAAAACGATATCTCAAACGTGGTGGTCCAGTGTAGGTAGTATTCTACAATAAGCTGTCGTGGTTTGTGTCTGAACTACCTGAAAAAGATATCTCAAACGTGGTGGTCCAGTGTAGGTAGTATTCTACAATAAGCTGTCGTGGTTTGTGTCTGAACTACCTGAAAAAGATATCTCAAACGTGGTGGTCCAGTGTAGGTAGTATTCTACAATAAGCTGTCATGGTTTGTGTCTGAACTACCTGAAAAAGATATCTCAAACGTGGTGGTCCATTATACAGTAGGTAGTATTCTACAATAAGCTGTCAATACCTGTATTTCCATCTCTTTCAGCACTCTCTCCTGTAACGTGGGGAAGTCTTCATTCATCGTTTGCAACAACCAACTTAAACCTTAAAAATATTAATTAAAAAACATGGCGTTGTAAATAAAAGATGAGAGCTCGTACAGTAGGCTAGCCGAGAGCTCTTACAGTAGGATAGCCCCTAGAAAAAGTGGCGGACTGGTGGACGTAATTATTTGCGCATTGAATTGTTTCAAATTGAAGTCTTTCCAAATACAAAATTTCTACTGTTTCCGGATTGAAAGTTTCTGGATACTGTCCAAAGCCGAGATGATTTATTTCCTGTTGGATTCGTCGCTGCATGCATGCGTGTGTGTTAACGGCAACGCGAGTTCGGTACTAAAAACGTCTCGAATTTGTGATTAATCTTTCGACCATGTTCAAGCTAGAAATTTAGATTGTTGTTAAAAATTTGGACATGCTATACAAACCTTTCTTTAGCTGACTGTCAACTTTTCGCCCACCATTTAGTAATGCTGTACATTGAAACTTGAATGAAAAGAGAAACGAATGATAGGGAGAACAGTTTAGAACTGATAGAGCTAGCTATCCAGTACTGCTGTTAAAGACATGATCCTTACACTGGACCTCTAGAGAGATCAGTTTAAAACTGATAACGCTATCCAGTATAAATAAAGTTAGTTTAGTTTAGGTTTCCTCCTGTAGTAACACTGGATCAATAAAAGATGATCCTTACTGGACCTCTAGGAAGAACAGTTTAGAACTGATAACGCTATCCAGTATAGATAAAGTTAGTTTAGTTTAGGTTTCCTCCTGTAGTAACACTGGATCAATAAGAGATGATCCTTACTGGACCTCTATGGAAAACAGTTTAAAACTGATAACGCTATCCAGTATAAATAAAGTTAGTTTAGTTTAGGTTTCCTCCTGTAGTAACACTGGATCAATAAGAGATGATCCTTACTGGACCTCTAGGGAGAACAGTTTAAAACTGATAACGCTATCCAGTATAAATAAAGTTAGTTTAGTTTAGGTTTCCTCCTGTAGTAACACTGGATCAATAAGAGATGATCCTTACTGGACCGCTAAGAAGAACAGTTTAGAACTGATAGAGCTATTCAGTATAAATAAAGTTAGTTTAGTTTAGGTTTCCTCCTGTAGTAACACTGGATCAATAAGAAATGATCGTTACTGGACCTCTAGGAAAAACAGTTTAGAACTGATAAAGCTATCCAGTATAAATAAAGTTAGTTTTGTTTAGGTTTCCTCCTGTAATAGCACTGGATAAATAAGAGATGATCCCTACTGGACCTCTATGGAGAACAGTTTAGAACTGAAACAGCTATCCAGTAGAAATAAAGTTACTTTAGTTTAGGTTTCCTCTTGTTCACTGAATCAATAAAAGATAATCCTTAGTGGACCTCCGGGGAAAACAGTGCTATCCAGTAAATAAAGTTAGTATAGTTTAAATTTCCTCCTGTAGTAACACTGGATCATTTCGCTATACAAAGAGAATGTTAACATTGCAAAATTGATACTCACGACTTTATAACGACTTCCACATTTCATAGCTAACTGTTCCAGTTCAAATTGAAGCTCTATATCTTCTTCTGATAATGCGCCATCAATATCCTGCTTGTTTGCAAACCTACATGCATGTGAAATACCGCAGTTAGATATTCTGCATGCATCACAATGTTTTACGTTTATGTTCTACACACGTAAAATTTCACCAGGGATGGAAAATGCATTAACAAAAAATAAACACTACAATATAAACAGACAATATTAAAGCGTTTTAATAATGTGAATTGAATTTTGAATTTTATATGTAGACCTAACCAAGCTCAATTTTTTTAGGTACAATTGAAGGATCTTGTGGAAATTATCAAGATGGAAATTATCAAGTGAAAATTTATTACATCCAACCAGGAAAAATGCAACTAAGGAGTAAGGCCCTATGTCAGGAATTGAACCTGCAGCCCTGCGACTCTGGTGCAGCGCTCTAACCAACTGAGCTACAGAGCAAGGCCGGATTTTGGTGGAAATAGTGAGGGAGGTGGAAAAAAAATTTAGGGGAGGTGCAGCAGCACAACCCCCATGGAAAGTTAGGGCTTAGAATGGGCCAAAGTCAAGAACGTGACATATGCATGTAGCCATATGTACGAGACAAGTGTATTTAATGAATTATGACTGTACAACAGTGATGTTTTCCAGGGGGAACGCGGGGGAACGCCGTCCCCCCACCTTTTTTACAAGGGGAACGGCGTCCCCCCTGCCAAAATCAAACGTGGGGGAACGCCGTTCCCGCTGGCGGGGATTAAATATGAGTAAAGTTCAGTGAATACCGTTTGACACCATCCAAATAATTTTGGCATCACTTGTTCTATATACGTGTTATATTTGGCAATAATTGCTCAGCGTCCTACGTAGACATATTTCAGAACGTAATTGTTTCACTATTTTAATCTCCCTGAAATTTGATATACTTGCATAAAATTCTAACAGACCAGCACAAAAATACGAGAGTCTGATAATTGACGTCCACTCAGATAAGTACTTACCAGTCATAAGCGCGGAAAACGTCTCTCGCGCAATCGCGAAATTAAACATTCAAATGAACATTAAAATGATCAATGGGGACATAAAATGATTCAATAAGAATATTAACATGATTGAATGGGAAAAATTCGAGGAAATCTATTATCTAAGCTTATTTAGTTACTCGCGAAAACGTCACGTCATATTCAACTTGCAAAGTTGCCTGTTTGCCGAGTTACTCGCATAGCGCTAATTGCATCATCGAAATTCGAAAGTCAGCGTGGTTTTATTTGCTTTTTGACATCTACCACATGCAAGCTAGGTGTTTTTTAGGTACATGTTATACTAAATCCACTTCAAAGATCAAGCTAATGCGTATGTACTTGTTCACTATGACTGTGCATGAGGCCACACCCAATCGAGTGACCACACCCATTTGATTTTCAAGACCGTCCCCCCACTTCTAAAATTAGCAAAACATCGCTGCTGTACAACTCATCCAATTGTGCCCTTCATTACAATTACAAAGTTTGTTTCAAAACATCACATTAAAGGGGTATAGTTGACACAGAGACGAATGGCTATCAATTTGACAAAAAAATGTTCTTACGAAGTGTAACCATGATTTTTTCTGTGTTGGAAGTGTAACCAATCAAAAAATGGTAAATTTTCACTTTGATCTATTGTTGAAATTTTCCCAAGGGGAGTGTGCATGATTTTTCAGGGGAGGTGCAAAACGATCACAGCCTGGGAGGTGTTACCCTGGATTCCAGAGCCTTCGACAGTAAATAATAAATTGAAATGTCGCGAAGGCTCTGGTTCAACGGGGCGATTCTTTGATTAAGCCGCGCCAATCACAAAACAGAATTAGTGGTTGTTTTAGTACAGAATCTGTACTAAAACCACTAATTCTGTTTTGTGATTGGCGCGGCTTAATCAAAGAATCGCCCCGTTGAACCAGAGCCTTCGCGACATTTCAATTTATTATTTACTGTCGAAGGCTCTGGAATCCAGGGTAGGGAGGTGTGCACCTCTCCTCAAAATTTAGCCATGTTACAGATGCCAGTTGTTGAGCTCTTAGGTGGGATATAAACCTGGCTCATTATATGAACAGGCTCTGAGTGATACTTACTTATTGTCAATTTCAAGTCACTTTTCAATGCGTGGTTCTCAATTAAGTTTGTTGCGAACTTGCCAACTACGTTTCCATGTTTGGAAATTGGGCACAAACTTCGCAAGACTAAGTTACTTAGACTTTTGTAAGACTAAGTACATCTCACTGTTCGAACCTCATTCTGTTCAATTCAATAAAATACATACCTTCTTGGTAGCCCACTAGAGCAATAACTTGAAATCCAATGAAATGTTAATTTCAACTTGAACTATGAACATTTGTTTACAATTATAGTTCAAATATTGAAATGTACTTGCAAACTTTGTTGTGAAGTTCACGCCCAATTTTCGAACTTGGAAACGTAATTGGCAAGTTTGCAACAAACTTGGGAACTGCACGTTGAAAAGTGACTTGAAATCGACAATACGTCAGTACTAGGGGTTGGTTGTTCGAAAGTCGATCGGCTTAACGCAAGGTTAACCTAAAATTCAAAGCAAACTTCAAATTGTATGCGGTACAGAGAGACGAATGTGGTACTTACACAACAAAAGGTTTTCCTGCGAGTCTTGAATCGGAAAAAGCTTCACGTAGAACAGTCCTCGAGTCAGCAATCCTTTCACGGTCGCTGGCATCTATGACATACACCACACCATATATCTGGAATATTATAAAGCTTCAGTTAACTCATTGACATTGACTGACTGCACTTGCTCTTCAAAAGTAAAATTGTCTGGCGTTAGAGAGAGTAAAATGATAAAGTAGAGCACATCAGGTGCAATGCAGCTTAATTAGTCCGCTCGATTTGATCTATCATGAAGATGCAGTGGGGTGCACACCCCCCCTAGTGGTGTCTAGCAATCCCCCTAGAGAAGTCCAGCGCTACCCTAAAAAATCTGCTTGACCATACATTTCCAGTGCTTTTCGAATAGCAATTGGCAGAACTTCTACTGTTAGCGTGTGTCGATTTCTTGAAACAAAATAAATTATTGTGAGCTCACAAGAAAATACTCAGAATGCTTTAGTTCAATATCATGGTTAAATATGTAAACATGTTGAGATTTTTTCTGTGTTGGTGTTGTGTACTCAGGTGAATATGATGCTTGTGATGTTACTCTGAGTATATATCCACACCGGGCGAGCTTGAAAAATATGCCCGGCCACGGTGGGAATCAAACAGGGTTCGAGATTTGCAGTATCCTAGTATCCTGACGATACCAGATTTCAGTTTTGGATACCAAATGTCATAACCTTGGTATCCTAGCTGGATACTAAGTAAATTGTTGATGAAATACCAAAATATGGCTATTACTGTATTAGTTAAAGAATACAAAATATATAAAGTAAAGTATTGTATATACCAAAAGAAACCGAGAACATTCAAGCATTTGTTTATCATAATTTACGAATTTCGAAACGGTAAAAATTAAAAGTAGGATTAAGGTTGTATATACACATAGGCACGTGTGTCAGGCTATAATTGTCAACATCCATCCAGAAATCCTTATATGGTCATATTATTTACAAATTGTGCGGCCTCCTGTTTCAGTGTTTGTTGCTTTTTTACCCAAAGGTTTTATACTGTAGTTTTTCCAAAATGTAGTAAAAGTATTAAATTAAATGATGTGGAAATTTGTTGTTCGCAATCCGACCGACAAAGGCGACAATCCTTCAGCTTCTGGGGAAGTTCAAGAGTTTACCGGGTCAACTACATCCTCGACCTCGATACTGCCTACGGATCAAGGCAATCAACGAAATGATGCTATTAATATCGATCAAAGCGAAAGGTCAAATGCGAAACAAAAGCGCAAGTTCAATCCATTGTGGCAAAAAGAATTTCCTTGGGTGAGGTTAGTCAACAAAAAAATGTTTTGCGATGTTTGCAGGAAGAATAAACATGCAGATAAATCAAGTGCGTTTGTTAAAGGATGTGATAATTTCCACATCAAATCACTTCGAAAGCACAACACGAGTAGCGGGCATGTTAAATGTGCTGCAAATGTTAAAGCTCTTAGTGCCGAACCGGGCACAAATCCTGCTGAAAGAGCACTACGAGTACTGCACGAAAAGGAGTTCGAGAAAATGCGTGACTGTGATGTTTCGAGTTTCACACTCTTTAGCAAAGAACGGGAGACCGTATTCGGACTACGAGTGGGCCCTAGATCTTCAGGAAACAACGCACAACATAAAACTTGGCGAGACTTACAGAAATGATCGAGCTGGGCGAAAGTTTACAGCTTTTATAGCCGAGGCAGAGCGTCTTAAACTAGCTTCGGAATTGTCAACTACTCCTTTTTACAGTATCCTGACAGATGGTACTACGGACACGTCTGTTTGCGAAGCCGAGATCTTGTATGTAAGGCATTGTAATAAAGGAAAGATAAGTAATCGATTCTTGGCTCTGCGTAATCTTGAACGAGCAAATGCCGAGAATATGACGAAAGTAATTGAAGAAACCGTAAAGGATTTTGGTGGTGTGTCCGCGAAGAAGATCTATACAAGAAGGCTGTCGGATATGGAGCAGATGGGGCTAGCGTCAATATGGGATGTCATTCGGGAGTTGGCGAACGTCTTAAGGTGGCTCGATACAGTTTTCAAAAATTCAGGTGTTCAACACTTTGAAATGTTCAAAATATGCATTTTTAGAATATATTCAGCAGATATTGGGTTTTTTATATATTTCGATATCTCTACTTTCAAATTATATTAGTTTTAGTAACATATAGTTCGTTGCTATGACGACATACGTGTACGAAATTCACTCCAAAATAGCCTATCGTCTCGTATAATTGGAAAAGAAGCATGGTGACCCCCAATTTTTTTTCTTGCATTATTGCACTTGGACGAAAAGCTAACAATTAGCAAAATATAAAAAAATTCTGTAATGCCATTTTTTTGGAAAATGCGAAAATGTCATATTCTTCGGTAAAATTTTTTTGGCATTACAGAATTTTTTTATTTTTTGTATAATGAAAGTTTTTAGCGGTGCAATACAGCATGCAAAATTTGAACATAGGTCACCAGACAAAATGAAGAGATATAGCGCATTGTTTTTCTAAAATGGAAAATTCTAATGACGTCAGCAATTGACATAAAACGCTATATAGAACACGCGAAATGACGTGAGATGGCGCGAGCAGCTGCTTACGTCAGGTCATTTTGGAAGTTCTGTCATTTTGTTAATCAGTTTCCGCGACCTGCGCGTAAAAATGGTCACCCGGTTTTGAGTTCGCGATTCTTGAGCAGGGTTTTCGTGATAACTATATCGAGCCACCTTAAACAATTATCTTCAATATCTTGATTCAACAACTTGATTCTGAATATCAGGTGAACGGGTGGTGTCACATAACTTTTTTTAATTTACTGGACCATCCACATACAGTGTCAAAGTTGGATACCACATGTTGACTTTGGATACCAACATAGAAATGCTGGTATCCATGATGGATACCTACAAAAAAATCTAATCTCAAACCCTGGAATCAAACCTACGACCTTTGGAATACTAGCCCAATGCTCTGCATTCATCTAGTATTCCAAAGGTCGTAGGTTCGATTCCCACCGTGGACAGGCATATTTTTCAAGCTCGCCCGGTGTGGATATACACTCAGAGAAACTTTAACAAGCAAATTTACTGTACAGTGCTACAGCAACTGTCCAGTCATGCATATGTGATAAAAAGCTGATAGAAACTTTATAAACAAGAGATAATATAAAATGCAACAGAACGGTGAACATGCAGATTCGACCATCTCCAATAATGGTGATGTTGGGATGGTAGCGTTGCAGACTGCAGAGGAGAGTGGGCAGTAAGGCTCCCTCATGCACCACCCCATGGAAAACCTGTACCCCTTCTTGCAGATGAGGCTAGATCTGCCTTGGGCCAACACACCCTGAAATTCAGAAACACTCCTAATATATTAAATCCTAAGCAGTAAGCACATGAGCAGATAGGCCAGTTAACCCTTTAATTAAGCACCAGCACTCTCCCCTTGACGAGTAAAATCGTCTGGCATTAGACAGTAGAGTAAAATAATAAAGTAGGGCGCATCAGGGCAGAATGTGACTCAATGGGTTAAGATCCTGTGCGTCAGCCGATCGTGTAGAGAATCAAAAGATTAAAATAGGTTTAATGTTAACTACCTCGGCGTAGTAATCCTTCCATATTCCTCGGATCCGAGGACCCCCACCGACATCGTACGCCGTCACTTTAAAATTTAACAGCTTAAACTCTGCACTGGAGAATCCTATAGTTGGAATTGTTGGCTCTTTTGCTTCTAAACAGAACAAAAAAACAACATTCTATTCAACTTATGTCTTGGAGCAAAACATTGTGTACATTCAACCTTACAATAAAGATACTCAACCCATATTTTTGGGATGGCAATAAAATCTATTTATCAAGGAGTAACGCGAGAGTGGCTCATAAACGAGTCCGCAAATTGTTGCATTCATTCGGCAACAATTGAGCTGTTTGGACATGGACCGAATTATCTGAATTGAAACCAAATGTCAATTTAAATAGAAAACTGAATTCAAGAAGTCAGGTAAAGTCATATGGAATTTATTTTTTCAAAGATTGAAATTTCAAGTACCGTATTTACTCGTTTGAGCGCCGCGGCGCTGTTTAAATTCTCAGAGCTTCAGATGACGGTGCTCATTCGGGGGCGGGGGCGTTCAATCGGGGGCAGCGCTCTTTAAAAAAATATTCTATTTGTGAATTATAACAAGAACTTTTAAGCATTACATAAACAAGTTTTAAAATTTAAACGTCTTTGTCACTAAATGTCCCCATTTTGACGGCGGAAAGTTTTACACTGTTTACAAAATATCAATGTTCTCTTCATGATTCGAGTCCAACTGTTGCATTGTAATACATGAGTCAATTCCGTTTCATGGTTGTAAGAAAATATCTTACAGTACTGCCCGATAAATATCTGGCAAATTTATACTGGATAGTGCCGGATGTCTAAATTTTACCGAATATTGGATACCGGTATCCGGCACATCTATCACAAATCAGCACACATACGTCAGCACGCTGGCGTTAGCGTCACAGAGTAGAGACATACAGAGACGTAACTAGTGTACCCACGTTTTTCATGCACATGCTCGGCAAGTTACTAGATGCATGCATCTGATTGGAAGACGACCTGATGACGACTCACTTTAACCCATTGAGTCGCATTGCACCCTGATGCACCCTACTTTAGTATTTTACTCTGTGTAACGCCAGACGATTTTACTGGTCAAGGGGAGAGCGCTGGCGCTTAATGGGTTAACTGGCCTATCTGCCTGTGTGTCTAGTTAACCCATTGAGTCGCATTGCACCCTGATGCACGCTACTTTAGTATTTTACTCCGTGTAACGCCAGACGATTTTACTGGTCAAGGGGAGAGCGCTGGCGCTTAATGGGTTAACTGGCCTATCTGCCTGTGTGTCTAGTTAACCCATTGAGTCGCATTGCACCCTGATGCACCCTACTTTAGTATTTTACTCTGTGTAACGCCAGACGATTTTACTCGTCAAGGGGAGAGCGCTGGCGCTTAATGGGTTAACTGGCCTATCTGCCCATGTGTCTAGTTAACCCATTGAGTCGCATTGCACCCTGATGCACGCTACTTTAGTATTTTACTCTGTCTAACGCCAGACAATTTTACTGGTCAAGGGGTGAGCGCTGGTGCTTAATGGGTTAAACTTGCTGGCACGCGCAGTCTTCCGCAGTGTTTTTGACGGTCAGTTACGTCTCTGTATGTCTCTACTCTGTGTTAGCGTGAAGTGGCTTTGGCTTCAGGTTTCTCCTGCATGTTATCATTTCAGATAAAAGACATATGGAGTTACAACTATTATATCAATTGTCAATTTTGGATCGGATTTGTACATCTCGAATGGGTATATATTTAGCCATACAATTCTAGTTACATTACCTCCTTTCAAATCATTAATAATGGTTGATTTCCCGGCATTATCCACGCCTAACATAAGCAGCTTTATCTCTCTAAAAAAGCAACACAAATATTAACAAAATCTTGTATAGAATCTTGTATAGAAATCTAGTTGTATCAGACCGACAAAAATAATGCCAGTTCTGGCCATCATTTGTAGTAAAAGCTTTAAATTGACAACCATTTACTAGCCTGTCGCCCACCAAATAAACCCATCAACAACAACAGAATACAAAGACACAGATGTCACAAATTACGGTCCAATTTTCAGACAAGAACACAAGAAAATAAATACAACGCTATTAATAAACTCACCGCGATTCTCGCTTCGTTATTCGGGAAAAGCATTTCGAAATGTAATTAAACATGCTTTAGCCACTAGAGTATAATAGAATAGTGTTCCTCGTACAAATTCATCGTTGTTCTAAGCCGTTCTTGCCCAAAAAATATCAATTCTACAAACGCAAAACAAATATTGTGAAGAATTCGACATCTTGCTAGGATTCCCCACCGGGCTTTTCAGAATTTGATTGGTTGCCATGGTAAAATCACTGAACTATATATAAACCACTAGAGTAGTGATATAGGTTTGCCCGTTCGCAGGTTAGGTCTATCAATCCGCGATTTATAATATTCCTTCGTTTTACATTATTTAATTTTTGTAGACTTCCATTCTTCGCCATCATATAAGTATCTGGAGATGAAATAAAGAAGAATTAAGTTGTGAAAAAAAGAAAAACAAGAAGAAAGTAAAAAACGTCGTGAGCAGGATTTGAACCTGCGCGGGAAAATCCCATTGGATTTCGAGTCCAACGCCTTAACCACTCGGCCATCACGACTGTCATTTGAAAAGGTGGTTAAATATTGGTTATAAAGCAACCTAAACGTTTTTCACAACGCATAATTCAACATATCCAATGTCAAAATCATAGATGTAGGAGATGGTTAAAATAAATAATAATGGATAATAATTTATTTTATTATCCATGATTAAAGTATCAATAATCAAAATATTGCCCAGTATAATTTTTAATTCCACTAACTAAACAAATTCGAGCCATTTTTGTCCCCAAGAGATACATTTTATAACGTATACTGAAAAACATCGAAAAAACGTCAGGAATTTTCCTGGAAAAACGAAAGTCACTTCAAGGAAAATTCGGGAAATTTTACTGTATCTAGGAAATTTTATATATCAAATACTTTCACAATCACAAGCAAGACTCTGCTAGAGACAACACGAAGCGAAAAATGAATCCTAACGATATAATACACCTCAACGTTGGTGGACAAAGATTATCTACTAAAAGATCTACTCTATGTCGAGTAGAAGGTTCGTTACTTGCCTCGATGTTCAGTGGAAGATGGAATCACGAGCACGACCACGATGGCGCTGTCTTCTTGGACTACAACCCAGAATTTTTTGTTCCCATTATAAATTATCTGCGCGCCATGGAATATGCCACTACAGGCAATCCCCCATCGTTCCCACAGTTACGAGAAGATCAAATAAAAGATTTCCAACGTTTTATCCAGTACCTCGGGTTGAGCGGTGAAATCTTCTCCCGTGAGAAATTCAATGCACACAGCATCAATGTAGTTACTCTTCAGGAAGGCGGGACAGTTGCAGTTCATGGTCCAAATGGAGGACATATGGGTTATGTTCTGGGAGAAAATGTTTACCAACAAGGCATTGTTCACTTCAAGTTGAAGTTGGAGTCGTTTCAAGTCAATGAGTGGATGTTTGTCGGCACAGTGAAAGCGTATCTTGTACCACCGAATAACAATTCACATCAATGGCCTGATTCATATGGATGGGTACTCGGGCAGTATGGTCAAGTATGGAAAGACGGATCACCTACGTATGATGCTTTAAAAAATCTCACTAAACAAGGCGACACGGTTGAGTTAGTCTTGGATTGCGATGCTGCCAAGCTGTCACTACATTTGCCCACTGGTCAACAATTTCACATCGAAATACCCAAGTCACAAACCTGGAGACTGAATGTAAATTTGGGTTGTGCAAATGACAAAGTGCGCATCATCCATGACAATGTATAGTGAAATGAAAGACTTTATTGTCTTTGTAAACCTAAACGATCTTTGTCAGTGTAGGTAGTGGCAATAATAAGAAAGTCTTGGATTGATAGGGACAGGCCTCGAATTTCCCTGAAATCAATCGACGGCAATGGCGTTAAAAATTGCCGTAGAACATAACAGCTGTCTACGGCAATTTTGGCAGTTTCCACGGCATTTTTCAAATTACTGTAATAAAACTTTAATTTTATTGTCACTTTGGATTTTTGACAAGCTAGAAACATGTCTACGTATTTCTTTAGTGTTTTTTTTTCCGAAGAAAACTGAGACTAAAATAGTGATTTACGCATGATTTGATCAACATCTGAATTCAAGTATCAAAGTAGTATAAATGCACAGACTACACGGCAAAAAATTGCCGTCGTTGCCGCAATGATCCACGGCATTTTGTTCTCCCTCTACGGCAATTGCTGCGATAAAATTCGAGCCCTGGATAGGGATACAACTACCTGAAGAATACAAGGAGAACATCAACGTTTTGAGTGAAGTCCCTTCGTCTTGTATTTCCGGGTAGTTGTATTCCTATCAATGTGAAGCTTTCTTTGTGAACCTAACTTCTTACCATAAGAACTACTGACTGTAGATATAGTCAAATTAAACCCTCCAAATTAAACCCTTCCTTTAAATTTGGTAAAATACATTATAGACGGGGGGTATAGGTAAAATATTATCTAGGTAAGATGGTTTGTAAAAAACAATAACATTATTTCCCACTTTCTTCGTTTAATTAAATTAGTTTGTGCATGTAGTATTTAAAAATCAAGTAATAACAAATATATCGAGAAAAAGCTTCTCTTTTTAAACTGTTAATTTTACTATTTAACTAATAGAGGTATGGCACCTCTGTATTCTCTAATACAGACACCTCTCTAATACACACACCTCTCTAATACACACACCTCTCTAATACACACACCTCTCTAATACACACACCTCTCTAATACACACACCTCTCTAATACACACACCTCTCTAATACACACACCTCTCTAATACACACACCTCTCCAATACAGACACCTCTCCAATACAGACACTTCTCTAATACAAACGCCTCTCTAATATAGACACCTCTCTAAAACAGACACCTCTCTAAAACAGACACCTCTCTAAAACAGACACCTCTCTAATACAGACACCTCTCTAATACAGACACCTCTCTAATACATTACACCTCTCTAATACAGACACCTCTCTAATACAGACACCTCTCTAATAGGGGCAGCTCTTTAATACGGACATCTCTATACTACAGACACCTCTCTAATACAAACACCTCTCTAACACAGACACCTCTCTAATACAGACACCTCTCTAATACAGACACCTCCCTAATACAGACACCTCTCTAATACAGACACCTCTCTAATACAGACACCTCTCTAATACAGACACCTCTCTAATACAGACACCTCTCTAATACAGACACCTCTCTAATACAGACACCTCTCTAATACAGACACCTCTCTAATACAGACACCTCTCTAACACAGACACCTCCCTAACACAGACACCTCTCTAATAGGGGCAGCTCTTTAATACGGACATCTCTATACTACAGACACCTCTCTAATACAGACACCTCTCTAATACAGACACCTCTCTAATACAGACACCTCTCTAATACAGACACCTCTCTAATACAGACACCTCTCTAATACAGACACCTCTCTAATACAGACACCTCTCTAATACAGACACCTCTTTAGTATGAACACCTCTCACACACTTTGCTTGTATGGGGCCACTCGTCATCAACGCTGGTAACTTTCCCATTTCCCATATTGCGTCTTTCAATCCCGTATTTTGGTTTTAATATCTTCATCTTTAATGGAATGAAGACAGAAATTGGTACTAAATGTAAAATAACATTAAACATTGCAGACACACCCAAAGCCAACGCCAGAGGTAAATTGGTTTAATAAGGCTAGATAATACATTCATATAAAGAAGTTATTTTTTTTATGAAGTTATTTATTTTATTTATAAAAGTCCAATAAACATGGTATCCATAGTTAACTTTCGCCTTCGAGCTAGAGTCGTTATTTTGACATAGAAGAATTATTTGAACCAATCGAAGAGTTGAATAATTCGCTTCAATGGCTTTTACACGCCGACTGATAGACTTTTGCTCCGTCTCTGAGACTTTCAGGCCAAGATAATTCAATAAAGACTCGATCAGCATAAAATCCATGGTGTACTTTTTCTCACATGTTTAACCCTTGTATTTCTTTAAGATTATTGTTCTTCTATACATTTTACATGTCATATCAGCAAATAAAGGAGAAATCATTTGTACAACTCTTAAAATACTCATTTATATAATTCATAAACCTTGCATGTAGCAAATTATGTCAGCCATAATATGTCACGTGGAGTGACTTTATATCTGATAAATCTCATCTTCATTAGTATTCTTTATATAATATGTTCATCCTAATTAGTATTCTTTTGTAGTCGTATTTTATGCTATTCAAAACACTCGTTGTCGTGTTTTATGAGATATAAAACATTCTTACTCGTGTTTTAAATAGTACATAATAGAAAAAGACATCTTTGCATTACGACAATGCACGCGTAAAAGGTTTTTGATTCACCTATAAAATACAATGGGTTTTTGGTATATGATCACTAGATAGATATTTTTAGTAGGATCCTTGTCAAAAAATTCAATAACGGTTGAGCAATTGCGATTGTTCTGCACTTGTCATATTTTCGAAACGAGTTCGGTGACCCCAATATTTTCCCTGTTTTTACTATGGGCATGTTTCATAAACTTCACATCTAGGAACTTTCAGCACATTCTCAGTTTCCAGAAAAATTACTAATGAATCATCTTAAAATTAATGCTAAATTGGTCCACCCTAATCCGATTTCCCTACAATAATTTAGCGCGTGTTTCATTCATTTTCCGTGTGTTTTTTTTCACATATAACGGACTTGGATCATTAACTCAGATGTAAATTCGCTCGCTCATAAGTTGCCTCGCTGAAATTTTCCAAGCAACATGCTCCAATAGCCACAGCAGAAACATTTGATGATCTTACTTCAAAAAGCTAGGGCGTGCCAAAATAAAACAATGCACCCGAATTCAGTGAAAACTTGTTTTTTGGGACTAAATTTGCTTTTAATTTGGTATTTAAAGAACATGTATAATTCCGAATTGGTGTAAAGCAATGAAATTGCTTTGTGGAAGTGACATATAAAAATTTCAAAGTTGCGCCACGAGTTTCTCGTTTCCTTGCCCAAATACAGTAAAAAAAATAAACCGTCATACCAGTCATTTTGCAGGTTTATTTTCAATTTATATGTAAATATCAACTAATCAACACATATTTAAAGATTTGCGGCACACAGAAGTTCAGCTTGCCTTGTTTTCTCGTGACACACATTTAAAGTTGCGTTGGTGTCTTTTATCAAACTCGACGTGTATGACGCAGAGAAGCAAAGAATGGATGCTGGCGAAGTTCCCAACGACGTTTTCATACACCTCAACGTCGGTGGACAAAAATTAATCAGCAAAAGATCCACTCTTTGTCAAGTAAAAGATTCGTTTTTTGCTTCAAGGTTCAGTGGAAGATGGCCGGAAGATCGTGACAAACGAGACGACGATGGCGCGGAGTTATTCGATGATAACCCACAATTTTTTGTTGCCATTGTGAATTATCTGCGCGCCAAGAAATATGCCACCAAAGAGAATCCCGCATTGCCGCCGAAAGTCCCCAAAGATCAATTGGACGATTTCGAAAATTTTGTCGAGTACCTCAGGTTGAGTGATGAAATCATCCCCCGTGAGAAATTCAATCAACACAGCCCTGGAGTTACTCTTGAGGAACACAGCAGAGTCGCCGTTCATGATCCAGATAAAGCAGAGCATAGATACGTTCTTGGTCAAAATATTTACCGAGAAAAGACGCACAGTTTCAGATTGGAATTGGAGATGTTTAAAGATCATTTTTGGATGTTTGTTGGCATTATGAGAAACTGTGTTGTACCACCGAATAACAAATCACGTCGATGGCCTGGTTCGTATGGATGGGCACGCGGGCAGCGTGGTCAAGTATGGAAAGACGGGTCACCTACGATTGATAATGCTTTAAAAAATAAGACTAAACAAGGCGACACGGTTAAGTTAGTCTTGGATTGCGATGCTGCCAAACTGTCACTACATTTGTCCACAGGTCAACAATTTCACATCGAAATACCCAAGTCACAAACCTGGAGATTGCATGTAAATTTGCTTAATCCAAACGACAGACTACGTATTATAAACGAATAATCAAATCAAAGACTATGGGCCTTTCCTAACCTGAGTATCAGGCTCTACTCAGGTTAGGCCTTTCCATATTAGAGAGATTCAGATTTGAAAAATCAAATCAAATCAGATTAATCTGATATATCAAACGCATCTGATTGGTTAAACTGATATGTCAAACGTATCTGATTTGTTTAACCATATATCAAATTAACCAATCAGATGCGTTTGATATATCAGATTAACCAATCAGATGCGTAGTAAGCCAGTGAGAGGTAGTGATAGTGAAAGTGAAATCTGAATCTCTCTAATAACACTGTTAGACTGGTTAGATCCATCAAATTGTTAAATGGAATAAAACAATTTCGCTTCTGAGATTGGTCTGACGGGAAAATTTCGATCAAATCAACATGAGGTCCATTTTGATCAAACGTCCGAAAACTTGGCCCAGATATTGCTTGAAATTATAACCCGTTATAGTATGCAAGACTCTCCCCTTGACGAGTAAATTCATCTGGCGTTAGACAAAGTAAAATACTAAAGTAGGGCGCATTTTGGCACATTGCAGCTTAATGGGTTATAAGAGAGATTCTGCCCAGCATGGCTGGTCTGACCATTTCAAATGGAAAGCGTGCTTTGTGTCTTTTTTGTAAATATATCCAGTCCTTGCAATATGATTATGAACTTTAGCTAAATTGAGGACTTTATGTAAATTTGTATGGGGCATATAACAAAGTACGCATTATCAAAGTTGAGTTATAGAATTATAGTGGCATGCAGTCATTGTTTGTTTTATTAGGTTAACTAGTGCATGTAGTGATTAAGAATCAAGTAATAACAAATATATGCACAAAATATTTAGATTTATATAGCCAGTAAAATATCGTGTTAGTTTTCATAGGTAGTAAAATATTTCATATTGATATTTAATAAAAGTATTTGCTTAAAACAGGCTCTCATAAATGTTTCCGAATTTCTTTAACTTTCCCCAAAATTCCTTACATTACTTCATTCAGTTTAATGTGATTTCCGCTCGACCAACGTAAATCACATATGTGTACTTCAAATTTAACCAGATAAAAAATCGAGAATTCGGCAATTTTTAATTCTTGAAATTCCTAAAGCTTTGAATTCTTCAAAAATTACACCCAAAAAATTGATTTGTATACATTGAGATTTATTTCAGCTCGATTTACGCGACGAAATTTAACATAGACTGGACCCAGCTTAGTTTGAACTATAGCCTTTGGAATATGATTCAAACTAACTCTGCTGAAACTCTAGACAGGCTTTTTTTACATTTCAAAAACCTCACATTGGTTAAAGTTAACTTACATCGAACCCGGGTTATTTTTCGCCGCGTAAATCAAGCTTTCACTGATATTCACTGAATACCACTAGAATCACTAGACACAAATTCAGGTCAAAGGTCCGTAAAATATTCAGCAGTTAATAATAGTTGTCATAATGAAACAGGAAACCATGATCATGTTTGTCAGTATTTGCATAATAAAAGACAAAGCAGATTTCGCAATATTATTTTCACAGAATAGATTGCTTTTACAAGGAATACGACCTTGCCTTGTTCTCTCATTACGTACATTTAAAGTTGTGTTCAGTTGGCGTCATTTATCAAACTCAAAATCATTCTCAGTGTATTCACTATGAGCAGTGAAGATTTATTAACAAAATTCGATGACTTGGTAAAGCGATTCAGGAACGAATTCAACGATATTATTGAAGGGGAGCGAGCCAAAATGAAAGCGGAACTAGACGCTTACAACGCAGAGAAGCAAAGAATGAAAGCCGTCGAAGTCAGCGACAACGATATCATACACCTCAACGTTGGTGGTCACAAATTAACCACCAAGAGATCTACTCTTTGTCAAGTAGAAGGTTCGGTGCTCGCCTCAATGTTCAGTGGACGTTGGGAGGACAGTCTCGAGCGCGATCAAGATGGTACCATATTTTTCGATTTCAATCCCCAGTATTTTCTTGTTATATTGGATTACCTGCGCACAAAGAAAATTGCGACACCAGAGAATCCCACGCCATTGCCGAAAGTCCCCGAAGAGCAAGCAAAAAGTTTTAATACTCTTCTGGAATACCTCGGTTTAAGCGATGAAATTGTGCCCGCTGAAAAAGTGCCTAGCGAGAAATTCAATCAACACAGCAGCAATGTAGTTACTCTTCAGGAAGGCGGGACAGTTGCAGCTCATGGTCCAAATTATGGGCATAGTTATGTTCTGGGAGAAAATATTTACCAACAAGGCATTGTTCGTTTGAGGTTGAAGGTGGAGTCGCTTAAAAATAATGAATGGATGTTGGTTGGAATAGTAAAAGGGGATGTTGTACCACCGAATAACAATTCATATAAATGGCCTGGTTCTTATGGATGGGGACTCGGGCAACATGGTATAGTATGGAAAGACGGGTCACATACGATTGATAATGCTTTAAAAAATGTCACTAAACAAGGCGACACGGTTGAGTTAGTCTTGGATTGCGATGCTGCCAAGCTGTCACTACATTTGCCCACTGGTCAACAATTTCACATCGAAATACCCAAGTCACAAACCTGGAGACTGAATGTGGATTTGTTTGGTGCAAATGACAAAGTACGCATCATCGATGACAATGTATAGTCAAATGAAAGACTTTATTGTCTTTGTAAACCTAAACGATCTTTGCCAGTGTAGGTAGTGGCAATAATAAGAAAGTCTTGGATGGATAGGGATACAACTACCTGAAAAATACAAGGAGAACATCGAGGTTTCGAGCGAAGGCCCTTCGTCTTGTATTTTCAGGTAGTTGTATTCCTATCAATGTGAAGCTTTCTTTATAAACCTAACTTCTTACCACAAGAACTACTCGTTAACAATACGACTGTAGATATAGTCAAATTAAACACTTCATCTAAATTTGCTAAAATGCACCATGGACAGCGGAACATGGTGCTAGGGGGTTTATAGGCCTCCAAAATTAAAAGTAGAGGGCTAAGCCCTACCCACCCCCCCCAAAAAAAAACAAAAAAAAAAACGGATGAGATTCAAAATTTTGAATTTAATATAAAAAATTGGAAAAATTCAGGAAAGATGAAAATATCATCAGTGAACAATTCAGGAAATATTAAAAATATCTGGTAGGAAAGTATGTTAGGTCCGGAATGTTTTTTGCACCCTCCACCCCGAAATAAAAACTGTTTCGCTTGTCAAATCTGAATTTCTCTAATAACATTGTCAGACTGATTAGATCCATTAAATGGAATACAAAACTTTCGCTTCCGAGATTGGCCTGACGGAAAAATTTACATCAAATCAACACGAGGTCCATTTTGATCAGACGTGCGAAAACTTGGCCCAGATCTTGCTTGAAATTATAACCCGTTATAGTATGCAAGACTCTCCCCTTGACGAGTAAATTCATCTGGCGTTACACAGAGTAAAATACTAAAGTAGGGCGCATTTTGGCATATTGCAGCTTAATTAATGGTTATAAGAGAGAGAAATTGTGCCCAGCATGGCTGGTCTGACCATTTCAAATGGAAACGTGTTTTTTGTCTTTTTTGTAAATATATCCAAGTCCTTGCAATATGATTATGAACTTTAGCTAAATTGAGGACTTTATGTAAATTTGTATTCGTCATATAACAAAGTGAGCATTATCAAAGTTGAGTTATAGAATTATAGTGGGATGCAGTCATTGTTTGTTTTATTAGGTTAACTAGTGCATGTAGTGATTAAGAATCAAGTAATAACAAATATATGGACAAAATATTTAGGTTTATATACCAGTAAAATATCGTGTTAGTTTTCATAGATAGTAAAATATTTCATATTGATGTTTAATAAAAGCATTTGTTTAAAACAGGCTCTCATAAAAGTTTCTGAATTTCTTTCGTTTTCCCCCAAAATCCTGAACTTTATGTGATTTCCGCTCGACGAACGTAAATCACATAATTTGTGCTTGAAATTTAACCAGATAAAAATTCGAGAATTCTGTGCACAAAACAGATTTGTATACATTGAGTTTCAATTTCAGCTCGATTTACGCGACGAAATTTAACATAGACTGGACTCAGGTTAGTTTGAACTAGCCTCTAGAATATGGTTCAAACTAACCCTGCTGAAACCCTAGACAGGCTTTTTTCACATTTCAACAACCTCACATTGGTTAAAGTTAGGTTACATCGAACCTGGGTTATTTTTCGTAGCGTAAATCGAGCTTTCACTGATATTCACTGAATACCACTAGAATCACTAGACACAAATTCAGGTCAAAGGTCCGTAAAATATCCAGCAGTTAATAATAGTTGTCATAATGAAACAGGAACCATTTATCATGTTTGTCAGTATTTGCATAATAAAAAAGAAAGCAGATTTCGCAATATTATTTTCCCAGAATAGATTGCTTTTACAAGGAATACGAACTTGCCTTGTTCTCTCGCTACGAACATTTAAAGTTGTGTTGGCGTCATTTATCAAACTCAAAATCATTCTCAGTGCTGTTAAAACGCGACAAAATGAGCGGTGAAGATTTATTAACAAAATTCGATGACTTGGTGAAGAGATTTAGGAACGAATTCAACGATATTATTGAAGGGGAGCGAGCCAAAATGAAGGCGGAACTAGACGCTTACAACGCAGAGAAGCAAAGAATGAAAGCCGTCGAAGTCAGCGACAACGATATCATACACCTCAACGTTGGTGGTCACAAACTAACCAACCTAATCTTTGTCAAGTAGAAAATTCGCTCCTCGCCTCAATGTTCAGTGGACGTTGGGAGGACAGTCTGGAGCGCGATCAAGATGGCGCCATATTTTTCGATTTCAATCCCCAGTATTTCCTTGTTATCCTAGATTACCTGCGCGCGAAGAAAATTGCCACACCGGAGAATCCCGCGCCATTCCCGAAAGTCGCCGAAGACCAAGCAAAAAATTTTAATAATCTCCTGGAATACCTCGGTTTAAGCGATGAAATCGTTCCCGCTGAAAAAGTGCCTAGTGAGAAATTCAATCAACACAGCAGCAATGTAGTTACTCTCCAGGAAGGCGGGACAGTTGCAGTTCATGGTCCAAAGAAAGGACATAGTTATGTTCTGGGAGAAAATATTTACCAACAAGGCATTGTTCGTCTTAAGATGAACTTGGAGTCGTTTAAAGATAATTATTGGATGTTTGTTGGCATCGTGAAAGCGGATGTTGTACCACCGAATAACAATTCATATTCATGGCCTGGTTCATATGGATGGATACTCGGGCAGTATGGTCAAGTATGCAAAGACGGGTCATGTACGATTGATAATGCTTTAAAAAATCTCACTAAACAAGGCGACACGGTTGAGTTAGTCTTAGATTGCGATGCTGCCAAGCTGTCACTACATTTGCCCACTGGTCAACAATTTCACATCGAAATACCCAAGTCACAAACCTGGAGACTAAATGTCGATTTGTTTTATGCAAATGAAAAACTACGCATCATCGATGACAATGTATAGTGAAATGAAAAACTTTATTGTCTTTGTAAACCTAAACGATCTTTGTCAGTGTAGGTAGTGGCAATAATAAGAAAGTGTCAGATTGGTAGGGATACAACTACCTGAAAAATACAAGGAGAACATCGAGGTTTCGAGCGAAGACCGTTCGTCTTGTATTTTCAGGTAGTTGTATCAATGTGAAGCTTTCTTTGTGAACCTAACTTCTTACCCACAAGAACTACTCAATAACAATACGACAGTAGATATAGTCAAATTAAACACTTCATCTAAATTTGTAAAATACACCATGAGTGGCGGAACATGGTGCTAGGGGGTTTATAGGCTCCAAAGTTAAAAGTAGAGGGCTAAGCCCCCCCCCCCCAAAAAAAACAAAAAAAAAAACCGAATGAGATTTAAAATTGATATAAAAAATTGGGAAAATTTCGAGAAATTTTTGAATTCAGGAAAGATGAAAATATCATCAGTGAACAATTCAGGAAATATTAAAAATATCAGGTCGGAAAGTATGTTAGGTCCGGAATATTTTTTGCACCTTCCACCTCCAAATAAAAACTGTTTCGCTTGTCAAATCTGAATCTCTCTAATAACACTGTCAGACTGGTTATAGATCCATCAATTGTTAAATGGAATACAAAACTGTTTGACGGAAAAATTTAGATCAAATCAACATGAGGTCCATTTTGATCAGACGTCCGAAAACTTGGGCCAGATCTTGCTTGAAATTATAACTTGTTATAGGATGCAAGACTCTCCCCTTGACGAGTAAATTCATCTGGCATTAGACAGAGTAAAATACTAAAGTAGGGCGCATTTTGGCGCATTGCAGCTTAATGGGTTATAAGTGAGAGAGAAATTCTGCCCAGCATGGTTGATCTGACCATTTCAAATGGAAAGCGTGCTTTGTGTCTTTTTTGTAAATATATCCAGTCCTTGCAATATGATTATGAACTTTAGCTAAATTGAGGACTTTATGTAAATTTGTATGCGGCGTATAACAAAGTACGCATTATCAAAGTTGAGTTATAGAATTATAGTGGCATGCAGTCATTGTTTGTTTTATTAGGTTAACTAGTGCATGTAGTGATTAAGAATCAAGTAATAACAAATATATGGACAAAATATTTAGATTTATATACCAGTAAAATATCGTGTTAGTTATCATAGGTAGTAAAGTATTTCATATTGATGTTTAATAAAAGTATTTGTTTAAAACAGGCTCTCATGAAAGTTTCTGAATTTCTTTAGTTTTCCCCCAAAAATCCTAAAATTACTTCATTCAGTTTAATATGTGATTTCCGCTTGACGACGTATAAATCACATATTTGTCCTTAAAAATTAAGCAGATAAAAATTCGAGAATTGTGCCATTTATAAATCTTGGAATCATTAAAGCTTTGAATTCCTCAAAAAAATCCGTAACTATATAAACGGATATTGCAGGAGAAATTGACGCACAAATTCTGAGCAACCTTCAATCGCCCTATTATCACTGCATGGCATATTCCCCAATGAGTGGAAATGTGCCAGGGTCGTACCAATACATAAACATGAAAAGCGTAATTGTCCTAAATCCTGATAACTATCGACCAATTTCCATCATTCCTGTAGTGGCCAAGGTTTTTGAAAGAATAACTTGTGACCAGTTGTCGCTATTTCTTTCTGAGTAGGGACTATTAACTAATTGTCAGTCAGAGTTTCTTGATTTGCATTCTACTGTTACTGCTCTTCTTGAGGTTACAAATGAATGGGGCTTATAATATTCATTATGGAAACGTAAATGCAGTCATGTTTCTAGATCTTAAGAAACCTTTTGACACTGTAGATCACGAGATGCTCTTAAGCAAACTAAATGCATATGGCATATATATTAGTGGGGTCACGAAAAATTGGTTTCGATCATACCTCAGCTAGTGAACATAAGCAGATGTTTTGTCAATGGTCATTTTTCGACTAATCGTTTACTTCGGTGTGGTGTTCCTCAGGGAACCATATTAGGGCCGCTTTTATTTCTCGTCTATATGCAGATGACAGTCACTTAATTTACGCAAGTAATAATATATATGATATATTAATCACAACTTTAATGAAGATCTTGTTCAGTAATGTCAGTGAATGGTTGTCAGCAAACAGACTTAGCCTACTTTGAACCAGAATACAACTGAATGCTAATTGGCTCTCGCCAAAGAGTTAATAGTTTTAATTCTATGCCTTCACTAACAATTAATGACATTCCGGTTAAGCAAGTGTCTCATACAAAGTCACTTGGCGTACATATTGATGAGAACTTGTCTTGGATTGTTCACATTGAAAACTATGTAACAAAGTTGATTCCGGTACAGGTGCCTTAAAGCGAATTAGACGATTGGTTCACCTTTCCACCCCTATTTCGACTATTGTTATGTAGGTTGGGACAGCTGTGGTAGTATTATAAACTTTCGTAACTTCGTGCTCGTTTTCCTATAATTTGTATTATTTACAACGTAACTTCAACCTATACTATATTTACATTATACTTAAAACGAGGTAGGTAGTCTTCGAGTTAAGCCCCGACCACGCGCCCAAACCACACCCATTTTCGTCAAGGTTTTAACTCGAAGAAAGAAACACAACTTGGAAAGTTCGAGTTAAGCCCCGAGAAAAAAGAGAGCCTTAACTCGAAGTTATTGAAAATATTCGACTCTCAAGTTAAGCCCAGACAATTTAAGGCATGTAAAAGAGAGCAATGATTTGAGTCGTCTACAATCTAGCTGGAAATAGTTATCATACGTCTCGGCTTAAAATTGCCTCAAATAAGCTGCAGCCTAAATGAGTCACGTACAACTCGTAAAAACAGTCAATTTTCATTAGTAACAGAATATTTTGGACCACTGGACCCAGTTTTTGACGAGCTTATCACGAATAAATTGACTTCAAGTCTTTATTTCGCGTAAAAGATCAATTTATTTGTAATATAAAGCTCAGAGGTTTATGCGAGTTGTACGTGACTCATTTAGGCTGCAGCTTATTTAAGGCGATTTAAGCCGAGAACTTTCCCAAGGTTGGAACTTTCCAACTTGTGTTTCTTTCTTCGAGTTAAGCCCCAATCTCGTTCCCCGAACCTGCGATCCTCGGGAAGGAACGCGAGGCTCTGGGATAATCCGTTGCCGGAAGCCAGGAATTCTGGCTGAGATTGAACTACGCATCCATTTCAACGGCCAATCAGATTCCTCCCTGAAACGGATTATCCCAGAGCCTCGCGTTCCTTCCTGAGGATCGCAGGCTCGGGGAACGAGATTGGTTAAGCCCCTGACGAAAATGGGTGCGGTTTGGGCGTGGTCGGGGCTTAACACGAAAAGAGCTTAACTAGAAGATTACCTTCCTCGCATTAAAATGCATGCTTTATACAAAATTCTTAAACTGTCAATCAAAACATGTGCACTTCCGGTGCAGACATGACATCATTTTCCTTTAATATCAACAGTTTCTCACAGGCAGTACTCTGACGGATAAAATACAAAAACGTTTGCTGCCAGAGTGCTGAGCTAAACAAACTACGATGCAAATGTCCATTATCTTTTCGAGAAACTTGCATAGGAAAATCTGAAATCCCAGCGTAGAATTGCTAAGACTACGTGGTTTATAAGTCTTTGAATGGCTTGGCACCAGATTGTTTGGCGCAAATGTTTGTTGGTTGCAGTAGCGTTGCTAATCAATAGGGAGTTTACGATCTACGACGCGGCCGGCTCGACGACGCGCTTTCAAAACAAAGAAATTTGTCATGCAAGACAAAAACTGTGAATAATTTGTGGTCACAGGGGTATTCTCAACCGCGTTGTCATGCTCAGCACAACGTTAAACTAAGCATTATCACGTCTTTCAAGCAACGTGAAAGCTTAATGCGACCCAAGAGGTGCTACTCAAGGTCGAAATTACAGCAAACATTGCATCGCTTTAGCCGAACGTAGTAGCAGTTTGTAAGGCTTTTTCAAAAAAGCATCAAATATATATTACAGTAATCAAATTGCTTAGCGCTCATTCTTGAGCTGAAATTTAGACAGCATCGTTGAGCCGGCCGCGTCGTACATCGTAAACTCTCTAATTAATACGTTGAGAGACACCTGTAGCAAATTAGCTCTGCCGCAACCACATACCAACTATCTTAAAAATAGTTTCAGCAATAGTGGGGAAGTTGCGGCAGGCTACCACCTTATCTAAATTAAAGTCTGACTGCAGGAACATTATTCGACAATCAAATATTTTATTCTGTCTCACGACACTCATGGAAACCAGGCGTGCCAAACTCGAACATTATCAGGACCGCTGAGAAGAATGATTAGAATAGAAGTCCAGAAACACGGGGAACACGACCCCTGAGGATTTTAATTAGATTGGAAATCCAATCCTTTTGTAAAGACCTAAATTGTCTTTTATGTCGAAAATAAGTCCAGGTTCGGGGTTGAAGTGTTCTCAATGGTCAACTTCAGGCCCATAGACTCAGGTTATTTATTGTAAATATAATCAGTCAAATCGTAAGAATTTGCCTCGGTACGAGTTTATCGTTTCCTTGCTTAACTACAGTGAAAAAAGAAAACAAACATTTTGCTGGTCTATTTTCAATTTATATGCAAATATCAACCAATCAAGACATATTTAAAGATTTGCGGCATACAGAAGCCAAGCTTGCCTTGTTCTCTCGTGACACACATCTAAAGTTGTCTTGCCGTCTTTTATCAAACTCGACGTGTACAACGCAAAGAAGCAAAGAATGAATCCTGAAAGATTCGAAGAACACAGCCCTGGAGTTACTCTTGACGAAGACGGCAGAGTCGCCGTTCATGATTCAGATGGAACGGAGTTTAGATACGTTCTTGGTCGAAATACTTACCAACAAGGAACGCACAGTCTCAAACTGAAATTGGAAATGTTCACAGATAATTTTTGCGTGTTTGTTGGTATTGGGAAAGGGGATGTTGTACAACTGCAAGATGATCCATATGCTGGTACATATGGATGGGGACTCGGGCTAAATGGCACAGAATGGAAAGACGGATCATACGAGGACAAACCTGAATTAAATGGACGCGTTAGGCAAGGAGAGACGGTTAAGTTAGTCTTGGAGTTGGATTGCGATGTTCCCAACTTGTCACTACATTTGCCCAATGGTCAACAATTTCGCATCGAAATACCCAAGTCAGAAACCGGCTGGAAACTCCACGTAAATTTGTTCAACGAAAATGCTAAAATGCGTCTTGTCAATGAATAATCAAATTAAAGACTTTGGGCGCTTTCCATATTAGAGATATTGAAATCTGAATTCCACTACCGCTACCATTAATGGACTATTAACCAATCAGATGCGTTTGATATATCAGATTAACCAATCAGATGCGTTTGATATATCAGATTAACCAATCAGATGCGTTTGATATATCAGATTAACCAATCAGATGCGTTTGATATATCAGATTAACCAATCAGATGCGTTTGATATATCAGATTAACCAATCAGATGCGTACTAAGTTAGTGAAAAGTAGTGAAATGTGAACCCGCTCTAATAACATGGTCACACTAGTTACATTGTTAAATTGAATACAAAACTCTCCCCTTGACTTGTAAACTCATCTCGCGTTAGACAGAGCAAAATACTAAAGTAGGGTGCATTTTGGCGCATTGCAGCTCAATGTGTTATAAGAGAGAAAGAGAAATTCTGCCCAGCATGGCTGGTCTGACCATTTCAAATGGAGAGCGTGCTTTGTGTCTTTTTTTGTAAATATATCCAGTCCTTGCAATATGCATGAGTATGATCTTTAGCTAAATTGAAAGCCTTATGTAAATTTATATGCGGCATATAACAAAATACGCATTATCAAAGTTGAGTTATAGAATTATAGTGGCATGCAGTCATTGTTTGTTTTATTAGGTTAACTAGTGCATGTAGTGATTAAGAATCAAGTAATAACAAATATATGGACAAGATATTTAGATTTATATAGCAGTAAAATATCGTGTTAGTTTTCATAGGTAGAAAAGTATTTCAAATTGATGTTTAATAAAAGTATTTGTTTAAAACAGGCTCTCATAAATGTTTCTGAGTTTCTTTAGTTTTTCCTCAAAAAGCTTTAAAAATTTCAGTGTATCTTTATTAATTAATACCCTTTTTTGTTATATTAAATTTTTTAATTAAAACTAAAGAAACTAAGAAAGCAAAGTATTTGCATGCGAGAATTTGAATAATTTTATTTCAAACTCAAAGTTTATCGATACTAAAGCCAAGGCAGTTTAGTTTTTAATATACTGATTACTGTAAAGAGCATTTTAACACGTTTTGCGAAGCGTTTGTGGTTGAATTTTACTTCAAAAACTCATTAATAATTCATGAAGCAATTATCCAATCTTGAGTAAGAAATTAGTCACGTGCATACGTCTTTATACCAGCTAAAGAACACTTTAACAAAAGACCATTGTTATGCAAACTATATAAAGATTTTTAAATAAAGATTTTTATATAAAGATTTTTATATAAAGATTTTTAAATAAAGATTTGACTTTAGACCTAATAGAACACTCCTGCTCGTTTTTTAAATAGTACATTAAATTGAAGCTTATGTTAGGTATAATAACATACCTAACATATATATGTTTGAGAAATTGATAATATTGTAATTAAAAGTGATATTTTTGGGGGATTTTTCAATTGTAAAAATACTCTGAATATTCTTAATGAAATCATCGCGTTACCATGACAACTACTTTAAATACTTCATGTTGGGAAAATACAATGGTTTTGTCAGCAAGGGGCGGGTTTCTGCATGCATGTATTTTCTAGTCTAAATTACTGCAGCAACATTATTCGATAATGTAATATTTTCTTATGTCTCACAGCATTCATGAAAACCAGGTGTGCCAAAATCGAACATTATCACGACCGCTGAGAAGAAGAATTAGAATAGAAGTCCAGGAACACGGGGAACACGACCCCTGAGGATTTTAATTAGATTGGAAATCCAATCCTTTTGTAAAGACCTAAATTGTTTTTTGTGTCGAAAATAATTTCAGGTTCTGGGTTGAAGTGTTCTCAATGGTTAACCCTTAGACTCATGTTATTTATTGTAAATATAATCAGTCGAATCGTAAGAATTTGCCTCGGCACGAGTTTCTCGTTTCCTTGCGCAACTACAGTCAAAAAAAGAAAATAAACATTTTCCTGGTCTATTGTCAATTTATATGCAAATATCAACTAATCAAGACATATATATATAGATTTGAGGCACGCAGAAGCCCAGCTTGCCTTGTTCTCTCGTGACACACATTTAAAGTTGCGTTGACGTCTTTTATCAAATTCGAAGTGTACAACGCAGAGAAGCAAAGAATGAATGCTGGGGAAGTCCGCAACGACGATATCATACACCTCAACGTTGGTGGGAAAAAATTAATCACCGAAAGATCCACTCTTTGTCAAGTAGAAGATTCGTTTCTTGCCTCAAGGTTCAGTGGAAGATGGGAAGGTCCTCACAAACGCGACGACGATGGCACTGCGTTCTTCGATTATAACCCACAATTTTTTGTTGCCATTTTGAATTATCTGCGCGCCAAGAAATTTGCCACCATAGAGAATCCCGCATTACCGCCGAAAGTCCTCGGAGATCAATTGGACGATTTCGAAACATTTGTCCAGTACCTCGGGTTGAGTGATGAAATCTTCCCCCGTGAGAAATTCAATCAACACAGCCCTGGAGTTACTCTTGGGGAAGACGCCAGAGTCGCCGTTCATGATCCAGATAAAGCAGAGCATAGATACGTTCTTGGGCAAAATATTTACCGAGAAAAGACGCACAGTTTCAGGTTGGAATTGGAGATGTTTAAAGATCATTTTTGGATGTTTGTTGGTATTCTAAAAAAGGGTGTTGTACCACCGAATAACAAATCACGTCGATGGCCTGGTTCGTATGGATGGGCACTCGGGCAGCGTGGTCAAGTATGGAAAGACGGGTCACCTACGATTGATAATGCTTTAAAAGATGTCACTAAACAAGGCGACACGGTTAAGTTAGTCTTGGATTGCGATGCTGCCAAGCTGTCATTACATTTGATCACTGGTCAACATTTTCACATCGAAATACTCAAGTCACAAACCTGGAGACTGCATGTAATTTTGCTTAATCCAAGTGACAGACTACGCATCATAAACGAATAATCAAATTAAAGACTTTGGGCGCTTTAACCAATCAGATGCGTTTGATGTCTCAGATTAATCTGATAAATCAAACGCATCTGATTGGTTAATCTGATATATCAAACGCATCTGATTGGTTAATCTGATATATCAAATTAACCAATCAGTGAGAGGTAGTAGTAGTGAAAGTCAAATCTGAATTTCTTTATCATTCAACTGTCAGACTGGTTAGATCCATTAAATGGAATACAAAACTTTCGCTTCCGAGATTGGTCTGACGGAAAAATTTAGGTCAAATCAACATGAGGTCCATTTGGATCAGACGTCCGAAAACTTGGCCCAGATCTTGCTTGAAATTATAACCCGTTATAGTATGCAAGACTCTCCCCTTGACGAGTAAATTCATCTGGCGTTAGACAAAGTAAAATACTAAAGTAGGGCGCATTTTGGCACGTTGCAGCTTAATGGGTTATAAGAGAGAGAAATTCTGCCCAGCATGGCTGGTCTGACCATTTCAAATGGAAAGCGAGATTTGTGTCTTTTTTGTAAATATATCCAGTCCTTGCAATATGATTATGAACTTTAGCTAAATTGAGGACTTTATGTAAATTTGTATGCGGCATATAACAAAGTACGCATTATCAAAGTTGAGTTATAGAATTATAGTGGCATGCAGTCATTGTTTGTTTTATTAAGTTAACTAGTGCATGTAGTGATTAAGAATCAAGTAATGACAAATATATGCACAAAATATTTAGATTTATATACCAGTAAAATATCGTGTTAGTTTTCATAGATAGTAAAATATTTCATATTAATGTTTAATTAATAAAAGTATTTGTTTAGAATAGGGCTCTCCATAAAAGTTTCAGAATTTCTTTAACTTTCCCCAAAAATCCTTACATTACTTCATTCAGTTTAATGTGATTTCCGCTCGACGAACGTAAATCACATATTTGTACTTCAAATTTAACCAGATAAAAAATCGAGAATTCGGCAATTTTTAATTCTTGAAATTCCTAAAGCTTTGAATTCTTCAAAAATTTCTCCCCACAAAATTGATTTGTATACATTGAGATTTATTTCAGCTCGATTTAGGCGACGAAATTTAACATAGTCATAGACTGGACCCAGCTTTATAGTTTGAACTATAGCCTTTGAAATATGGTTCAAACTAACCCTGCTGAAACCGTAGTCGTAGACAGGCTTTTTTTACATTTCAAAAACCTCACATTGGTTAAAGTTAACTCACATCGAACCTGGGTTATTTTTCGTAGCGTCAATCAAGCTTTCACTGATATTCACTGAATACCACTAGAATCACTAGACACAAATTCAGGTCAAAGGTCCGTAAAATATTCAGCAGTTAATAATAGTTGTCATAATGAAACATGAAACCATGATCATGTTTGTCAGTATTTGCATAATAAAGACAAAGCAGATTTCGCAATATCATTTTCCCAGAATAGATTGCTTTTACAAGGAATACGACCTTGCCTTGTTCTCTCGCTACGTACATTTAAAGTTGTGTTGCCGTCATTTATCAAACTCAAAATCATTCTCAGTGTATTTAAAACGCGACAAAATGAGCGGTGAAAATTTATTAACAAAATTTGATGACTTGGTGAAGAGATTTAGGAACGAATTCAACGATATTATTGAAGGGGAGCGAGCCAAAATGAAGGCGGAACTAGACGCTTACAACGCAGAGAAGCAAAGAATGAAAGCCGTCGAAGTCAGCGACAACGATATCATACACCTCAACGTTGGTGGTCACAAATTGACCACAAAAAGATCTACTCTTTGTCAAGTAGAAGGTTCGCTGCTCGCCTCAATATTCAGTGGACGTTGGGAGGACAGTCTCGAGCGCGATCAAGATGGCGCCATATTTTTCGATTTCAATCCCCAGTATTTCCTTGTTATATTGGATTACCTGCGCACGAAGAAAATTGCCACACCAGAGAATCCCACGCCATTGCCGAAAGTCCCTGAAGACCAAGCAAAAAGTTTTAATACTCTTCTGGAATACCTTGGTCTAAGCGATGAAATTGTGCCCGCTGAAAAAGTGCCTAGCGAGAAATTCAATCAACACAGCAGCAATGTAGTTACTCTTCAGGAAGGCGGGACAGTTGCAGTTCATGGTCCAAATGATGGACATAGTTATGTTCTGGGAGAAAATGTTTACCAACAAGGCATTGTTCGTCTTAAGATGAAGGTGGAGTCGTTTAAAAATAATCAATGGATGTTGGTTGGCATGGTTAAATCGGATGTTGTACCACCGAATAACAATCCATATTCATGGCCTGGTTCATATGGATGGGCACTCGGAAAGCATGGTCGAGAATGGAAAGACGGGTCAGGTACGAATGATAGTACTTTAAGTAATCTGACAAGAGAGGGTGACACGGTTGAGTTAGTCTTGGATTGCGATGCTGCCAAGCTGTCACTACATTTGCCCACGGGTCAACAATTTCATATCGAAATACCCAAGTCACAAACCTGGAGACTAAATGTCGATTTGCATTATGCAAACGACAAAGTACGCATCATCAATGACAATGTATAGTGAAATGAAAGACTTTATTGTCTTTGTAAACCTAAACGATCTTTGTCAGTGTAGGTAGTGGCAATAATAAGAAAGTCTTGGATGGATAGGGATACAACTATTTGAAAAATACAAGGAGAACTTCGACGTTTCGAGCGAAGCCGATAGGTAGTTGTATTCCTATCAATGTGAAGCTTTCTTTGTAAACCTAACTTCTTACCATAAGAACTACTCATTAACAATACGACTGTAGATATTGTCAAATTAAGCCCTTCATGTAAATGTGGTAAAATACATCATAGGCGGCGGGTTTATAGGCCTCCAAAATTAAAAGTATAGAGGGCTAAGCCCCCCCTCCCCCCCCCCCAAAAAAAACAACCGAATGAGATTCAAAATTTTTAAGTTGATATAAAAAGTTCAGTAAAGATGAAAATATCATGAACAATTCAGGAAATATTAAAAATATCAGGTAGGAAAGTATGTTAGGTCCGGAATATTTTTTGCACCCTCCACCCCCAAATAAAAACTGTTTCGCTTGTCAAATCTGAATTTCTCTAATAACATTGTCAGACTGGTTAGATCCATTAAATGGAATACAAAACTTTCGCTTCCGAGATTGGTCTGACGGAAAAATTTTGATCAAATCAACATGAGGTCCATTTTTATCAGACGTCCGAAAACTTGGCCCAGATCTTGCTTGAAAATATAACCCGTTATAGTATGCAAGACTTTCCCCTTGACGAGTAAATTCATCTGGCATTAGACAGAGTAAAATACTAAAGTAGGGCCCATTTTGGCGCATTGCAGCTTAATGGGTTATAAGAGAGAGAAATTCTGCCCAGCATGGCTGGTCTGACCATTTCAAATGGAAAGCGTGCTTTGTGTCTTTCTTGTAAATATATCCAGTGCTTGCAATATGATTATGAACTTTAGCTAAATTGAGGACTTTATGTAAATTTGTATGCGGCATATAACAAAGTACGCATTATCAAAGTTGAGTTATAGAATTATAGTGGCATGCAGTCATTGTTTTATTAGGTTAACCAGTGCATGTAGTGATTAAGAATCAAGTAATAACAAATATATGGACAAAATATTTAGATTTATATTCCAGTAAAATATCGTGTTAGTTTTCATAGGTATAGTAAAATATTTCATATTGATGTTTAATAAAAGTATTTGTCATAAAAGTTTCTGAATTTCTTTAGTTTTTCCCCAAAAATCCATATTACTTCATTCAATTTTATGTGATTTCCGCTCAACGACGTAAAGTCATATATTTGTACTTGAAAATTAACCAGATAAAACTTCGAGAATTGTGCAATTTATAATTCTTGGAATCCTTAAAGCTTCGAATTCCCTAATTTTAAAAACTTGTACGTGTAAAACAGATTTGTACGGAGAAGAGGTGTCCGTTAAAAGTCATAGACTAGACTCAGGTTGGTTTTAATTAACTGGCCTCTGGTTCAAACTATTAAATTCTGCTGAAACCCTAGACAGACTTTTTTTTACATTTCAAAAACCTCACATTGGTTAAAATTAACTTACATCAAACCTGGGTTATTTTTCGTAGCGTAAATCAAGCTTTCACTGATATTCAATGAATACTACTAGAATCACTAGACACAAATTCAGGTCAAAGGTCCGTAAAATATTCAGCAGTTAATAGATAGCTTAAGATCTACACGTCGACGTCAGCTAGGACGTCAGGGCTATGCAGAGGACTGGGACTAGGATGTCGTCCTAATGTAGTCCCAGTCCTCTGCTTAGCCCTGACGTCCTAGCTGGCGTCGACGTAGTTGTCATAATGAAACAGGAAACCATGATCATGTTTGTCAGTATTTGCATAATAAAAGAGAAAGCAGATTTCGCAATATTATTTTCCCAGAATAGATTGCTTTTACAAGGAATACGACCTTGCCTTGTTCTCTCGTTACGTACGTTTAAAGTTGTGTTGGCGTCATTTATCAAACTCAAAATCATTCTCAGTGCTTTTAAAACGCGACAAAATGAGCGGTGAAGATTTGTTAACAAAATTCGATGACTTGGTGAAGAGATTCAGAAGCGAATTCAACGATATTATTGAAGCGGAGCGAGCCAAAATGAAGGCGGAACTAGACGCTTACAACGCAGAAAAGCAAAGAATGAAAGCCGTCGAAGTCAGCGACAGCGATATCATACACCTCAACGTTGGTGGTCACAAATTGACCACAAAAAGATCTACTCTTTGTCAAGTAGAAGGTTCGCTGCTCGCCTCAATGTTCAGTGGACGTTGGGAGGACAGTCTCGAGCGCGATCAAGATGGCGCAGTATTTTTCGATTTCAACCCCCAGTGTTTTGTTCTTATATTAGATTATCTGCGTGCGAAGAAAATTGCCACACCAGAGAATCCAGCGCCATTGCCGAAAGTTGCCGAAGACCAAGCAAAATATTTTAATAATCTTCTCGAATACCTCGGTTTAAGCGATGAAATCGTGCCCGCTGAAAAAGTGCCTAGCGAGAAATTCAATCAACACAGCAGCAATGTAGTTACTCTTCAGGAAGGCGGGACAGTTGCAGTTCATGGTCCAAATAATGGACATAGTTATGTTCTGGGTGAAAATGTCTACCAACAAGGCAACAATCGTTTCAGGTTGAAGTTGGAGTCGTTGAAAAATAATTTTTGGATGTTCGTTGGCACAGCGAAAGCGGATGTTGTACCACCGAATAAGGATTCATGTTCATGGCCTGGTTCATCTGGATGGGCTCTCGGTAGCAGTGGTCAAGTATGGAAAGACGGGTCAGATACGTATGATAATGCTTTAAGTAATCTCACTAAACAAGGCGACACGGTTGAGTTAGTCTTGGATTGTGATGCTGCCAAGCTGTCTCTACATTTGTCCACTGGTCAACGATTTCACATCGAAATACCCAAGTCACAAACCTGGAGACTGAATGTAAATTTGTATGGTGCAAATGACAAAATACGCATCATCGATGACAATGTATAGTGAAATGAAAAACTTTATTGCCTTTGTAAACCTAAACGATCTTTGTCAGTGTAGGTAGTGGCAATAATAAGAAAGTCTTGGATTGATAGAGATACAACTACCTGAAAAATACAAGGAGAACATCAACGTTTCGAGCGAAGACACTTCGTCTTGTATTTTCGGGTAGTTGTATTCCTATCAATGTGAAGCTTTCTTTGTGAACCTAACTTCTTACCATAAGAACTACTCATTAACAATATGACTGCAGATATAGTCAAATTAAACCCTTCATGTAAATTTGGTAAAATACACCATAGACGGCGGAACGTGGGGTTATAGGTAAAATATTATATAGGCAAAATAGCTTGTGAAAAGCAAAGAATATTATTTCCCCCTTTCTTCATTTAATTAGGTTAATTTGTGCATGTAGCATTTAAAAATGAAGCAATAACAAATATATAGAGAGAAACCCTTTTTTTAAACTGTTACTTTTGCTATTTAACTAATAGGGGTATGGTCTGTTATACTTTTTGCAAAGATTATGCAGAAATCAAGCATGCATAATATCGGTCATGCGTGTGATACATTATGCGTGAAAGGTTTGTCAAAACAGACACCTCTCTAATAGGAACATTTCTCTAATACAGACACCTCTCTAATACAGACACCTCTCTAATACAGACACCTCTCTAATACAGACACCTCTCTAATACACACACCTCTCTAATACATACACCTCTCTAATACAGACACCTCTCTAATACATACACCTCTCTAATACAGACACCTGTCTAATACACACACCTCTCTAATACACACACCTCTCTAATACATACACCTCTCTAATACAAACACCTCTCTAATACAAACACCTCTCTAATACACACACCTCTCTAATACAGACACCTCTCTAATACAGACACCACTTTGCTTGTACTTGGCCCAATCGTCATCGACGCTCGTAACTTTCCCATTTCTTTCCAATATTGCGTCTTTAAATCCCGTATTTTGGTTTTAATATCTTCACCTTTCGAGTGTTGAGAACATGTATAATGGAATGAAGACACAGATATTGATATTAAATGTAAAATAACATTAAACATTATTCCAAACACAAATTGGTTTAATAAGGCTAGATAATGCATTCATATAAACACAAGTTGACAATGTATTGTAGATGCAAAAAAAATATTACTGAAGTTATTTATTTTATTTATAAAAGTCCAATTAATATGGTATCCATAGTTAACTTTTGCCTTCGAGCTAGAGTCGTTATTTTGACATAGGAGAATTATTTGAACTAATCGAAGAGTTGAATAATTCGCTTCAATGGCTTTTATACGCCGACTGATTGACTCAACTTTTTCTCCGTCTCTGAGACTTTCAGGACAAGACAATTCAATAAAGACTGGATCAGTATAAAATCCATGGTGTACTTTTTCGCAGATGTTTAACCCTTGTATCTCTTTAATCTCTTTAAGAAGGTGCGTGAGCCTACTTTTTTATTTTAGATTATTGTTCTTTACATGTCATATCAGGAAATAAGGGAGAAATCATTTCTACAGCTCTTCAAACACTCATTAATAATTCATAAGCTTATTGGCAAATCATGTCAACCATAATATGTCCTAACTAGTATTCTTTATACAAAGAATACCAATAAGGCAGTATCTATTGTAGTCGTGTCCTCATTAGTATTCTTTATATAAAGAATATTGCACTTGTCATATCTTCGAAACGAGTTCGGTGACCCCAATTTTTTCCCTGTTTTTACTATGAGCATATCATAAACTTCACATCTGGGAACTTTCAGCAAATTCTCAGTTTCCAGAAAAATTACTAATGAATCATCTTAAAATTAATGTTATAATTGGTCCACCCTCATCCCATTTCCCCACAATAATTTAGCGCGTGTTTCATTCATTTTCCGTGTGTTTTTTTTCACATATAACGGGCTTGGATCATTAACTCAGATGTAAATTCGCTCGCTCATAAGTTGCTTCGCTGAAATTTTCCAAGCAACATGCTCCAATAGCCACAGCAGAAACATTTGATGATCTAACTTCAAAAAGCTAGGGCGTGCCAAAATAAAACAATGCACCCGAATTCAGTGAAAACTATAGTTCCGTGGGACCCAATTTGCTTTTAATTCGATATTTAAAGGAACATGCATAATTCCGAATTGGTGTAAAGCAATGAAATTTCTTAGTGGAAGTGGCATATAAAAATGTCAAGGTTGCGCCACGAGTTTCTCGTTTCCTTGCTCAACTACAGTAAAAATAAATACACAGTCATACCAGTTATTGTGCAAGTTTATTTTCAATTTATAAGTAAATATCAACTAATCAACACATATTTAACGATTTGCGGCACACAGAAGCCCAGCTTGCCTTGTTTTCTCGTGACGCATATTTGAAGTTGTGTTGCCGTCTTTATCAAATTCGAAGTGTATGACGCAGAGAATGAATGTTGGCGAAGTCCGCAACGACGATATCATACACCTCAACGTCGGTGGACAAAAATTAACCACCGAAAGATCCACTCTTTGTCAAGTAGAAGGTTCGTTTCTTGCCTCAAGGTTCAGTGGAAGATGGGAAGGTCGTCACAAATGCGACGACGATGGCGCTGTGTTCTTCGATTATAATCAACAATTTTTTGTTGCCATTTTGAATTATCTGCGCGCCAAGAAATTTGCCACCATAGAGAATCCCGCATTACCGCCAAAAGTCCCCGGAGATCAATTAGACGATTTCGAAACATTTGTCCAGTACCTCGGGTTGAGTGATGAAATCTTCCCCCGTGAGAAATTCAATCAACACAGCCCTGGAGTTACTCTTGGGGAAGACGGCAGAGTCGCCGTTCATGATCCAGATAAAGCAGAGCATAGATACGTTCTTGGTCAAAATATTTACCGAGAAAAGACGCACAGTTTCAGGTTGGAATTGGAGATGTTTAAAGATCGTTTTTGGATGTTTGTTGGTATTCTAAAAAAGGGTGTTGTACCACCGAATAACAAATCACGTCGATGGCCTGGTTCATATGGATGGGCACTCGGCGAGTCTGGTCAAGTATGGAAAGACGGGTCACCTACGATTGATAATGCTTTAAAAGATGTCACTAAACAAGGCGACACGGTTAAGTTAGTCTTGGATTGCGATGCTGCCAAGCTGTCATTACATTTGTCCACTGGTCAACAATTTCACATCGAAATACTCAAGTCACAAACTTGGAGACTGCATGTAATTTTGCTTAATCCAAGTGACAGACTACGTATCATAAACGAATAAACAAATTAAAGACTTTGGGCGCTTTAACCAATCAGATGCGTTTGATATCTCAGATTAATCTGATATATCAAACGCATCTGATTGGTTAATCTGATATATCAAACGCATCTGATTGGTTAATCTGATATAACAAACGCATCTGATTGGTTAATCTGATATATCAAACACATCTGATTGGTTAATCTGATATCAAATTAACCAATCAGTGAGAGGTAGTGGTATTGAAAGTCAAATCCGAATCTCTTTATCATTCAACTGTCAGACTGGTTAGATCCAGTAAATTGTTAAATGGAATACAAAACTTTCGCTTCCGAGATTGGTCTGACGGAAAAATTTCGATCAAATCAACATGAGGTCCATTTTGATCAAACGTCCGAAAACTTGGCCCAGATCTTGCTTGAAATTATAACCCGTTATAGTATTTATAGTATGCAAGACTCTCCCCTTGACGAGTAAATTCATCTGGCGTTAGACAAAGTAAAATGCTAAAGTAGGGCGCATTTTGGCACATTGCAGTTTAATGGGTTATAAGAGAGAGAAATTCTGCCCAGCATGGCTGGTCTGACCATTTCAAATGGAAAGCGTGCTTTGTGTCTTTTTTGTAAATATATCCAGTCCTTGCAATATGATTATGAACTTTAGCTAAATTGAGGACTTTATGTAAATTTGTATGCGGCATATAACAAAGTACGCATTATCAAAGTTGAGTTATAGAATTATAGTGGCATGCAGTCATTGTTTGTTTTATTAGGTTAACTAGTGCATGTAGTGATTAAGAATCAAATAAGGCCAAATAAAAAAAAATACTTGGTTAGCGTCACACTCTCACAAATTTTCAGAGGCGGGCGGGCGGATTTTTTTTTAAATTTTTACTCGTTTTTTAATTTTTTAATAGTATTTTTGGAGGGGATGGGGGGCGGTTTTCCACCATATCGGTGATATTTTTTGTACTGATGTTGCGAAGGCCGCCATTTTGCTTTAAGAACCTTGTATTCCCAAGCCTACGCGCTCCTATCGATCAGTATGTAGCGCGAAGGTCTGAGCATGAGAAAAATTTCAAATATTAAACTTTATTAAGCTGTAAAACGAAGAGATTTACATGAAAACAAATTAAAAAAAAATCAGAGGCGGCAGAAAATCGAGAGGCGGGCGGTGACGCTAACCAAGTATTTTTTTTTATTTGGCCTAATAACAAATATATGCACAAAATATTTAGATTTATATAACCAGTAAAATATCGTGTTAGTTTTCATAGGTATATAGTAAAATATTTCATATGGATATTTAATAAAAGTATTTGCTTAAAACAGGCTCTCATAAATGTTTCCGAATTTCTTTAACTTTCCCCAAAATTCCTTACATTACTTCATTCAGTTTAATGTGATTTCCGCTCGACGAACGTAAATCACATATTTGTACTTCAAATTTAACCAGATAAAAAATCGAGAATTCGGCAATTTTTAATTCTTGAAATTCCTAAAGCTTTGAATTCTTCAAAAATTTCTCCCCACAAAATTGATTTGTATACATTGAGATTTATTTCAGCTCGATTTAGGCGACGAAATTTAACCTAGACTGGACTTAGGTTAGTTTGAACTAGCCTCTGGAATATGGTTCAAACTAACCCTGCTGAAACTCTAGACAGGCTTTTTTTACATTTCAAAAACCTCACATTGGTTAAAGTTAACTCACATCGAACCTGGGTTATTTTTCGTAGCGTAAATCAAGCTTTCACTGGTATTCACTGAATACCACTAGAATCACTAGACACAAATCCAGGTCAAAGGTCCGTAAAATATTCAGCAGTTAATAATAGTTGTCATAATGAAACAGGAAACCATGATCATGTTTGTAAAGCAGATATCGCAATATCATTTTCCCAGAATAGATTGCTTTTACAAGGAATACGACCTTGCCTTGTTCTCTCGTTACGTACATTTGAAGTTGTGTTGGCGTCATTTATCAAACTCAAAATCATTCTCAGTGTATTTAAACCGCTACAACATGAGCGGCGAAGATTTATTAGCGAAATTCGATGACTTGGTGAAACGCTTCAGGAACGAATTCAACGATATTATTGAAGGGGAGCGAGCCAAAATGAAGGCGGAACTACACGCTTACAACGCAGAGAAGCAAAGAATGAAAGCCGTCGAAGTCAGCGACAACGATATCATACACCTCAACGTTGGTGGTCACAAATTGACCACAAAAAGATCTACTCTTTGTCAAGTAGAAGGTTCGCTGCTCGCCTCAATGTTCAGTGGACGTTGGGAGGACAGTCTCGAGCGCGATCAAGATGGCGCCATATTTTTCGATTTCAATCCCCAGTATTTCGTTGTTATATTGGATTACCTGCGCACGAAGAAAATTGCGACACCAGAGAATCCCACGCCATTGCCGAAAGTTCCCGAAGACCAAGCAAAAAGTTTTAATACTCTTCTGGAATACCTCGGTTTAAGCGATGAAATCGTGCCCGCTGAAAAAGTGCCTAGCGAGAAATTCAATCAACACAGCAGCAATGTAGTTACTCTTCAGGAAGGCGGGACAGTTGCAGTTCATGGTCCAATTTATGGACATAGTTATGTTCTGGGAGAAAATGTTCACCAACAAAGCAGTGTTCGTTTCAAGTTAAAGGTGGAGTCGTTTCAAACTAAAACATGGATGTTGGTTGGCGTAGTGAAAGCGGATGTTGTACCACCGAATAACAATTCATACTCATGGCCTGGTTCATATGGATGGGCACTCGGGCAGTATGGCCAACTATGGAAAGAAGGGTCACATACGACTGATAATGCTTTAAAAAATATGACTAAACAAGGCGACACGGTTGAGTTAGTCTTGGATTGCGATGCTGCCAAGCTGTCACTACATTTGCCCACTGGTCAACAATTTCACATGGAAATACCCAAGTCACAAACCTGGAGACTGAATGTGGATTTGCGTGATGCAAATGACAAAGTACGCATCATCCATGACAATGTATAGTCAAATGTAAGACTTTATTGCCTTTGTAAACCTAAACGATCTTTGTCAGTGTAGGTAGTGGCAATAATAAGAAAGTCTCAGATTGATAGGGATACAACTACCTGAAAAATACAAGGAGAACATCGAGGTTTTGAGCGAAGGCCCTTCGTCTTGTATTTTCGGGTAGTTGTATTTCTATCAATGTGAAGCTTTCTTTGTAAACCTAATTTCTTACCATAAGAACTACTCATTAACAATATGACTGTAGATATACTCAAATTAAACCCTTCACGTAAATTTAATAAAATACATCATAGACGGTGGAACGCGGGGTAAAATATTATCTAGGTAAAATAGTTTGTAAAAAGCTAGAAACATTAATTCCCGCTTTCTTCGTTTAATTAGGTTAATTTGTGCAATTAAAAATCAAGTAATAACAAATATATAGACAAAAACTCTTCTTTATTTTAAACTATTACTTTTGCTATTTAACTAATAGGGATATGGCCCGTTGTATTTTTTGTAGCAAGCATGTAAGAAATCAATCGTGCACAAAAACAGTCATAACAGACGCCTCTCAAATACAAAGCTCTAATACAGACAGCTTCATACCCAGGTCTAATACAAACACCTCTCTAATTCAGACACCTCTCTAATACAAACACCTCTCTAATACAGATACCTCTCTGATACAGACACCTCTCTAATACAGACACCTCTCTAATACGGGGACACCTCTCTAATACGGCGACACCTCTCTAATACAGAAACCTCTCTAACACAGACACCTCTCTAATACAGACACCTCTCTAATACAGACACCTCTCTAACACAGACACTTCTCTAATACACACATCTCTCTAATACAGACACCTCTCTAATACAGACACATCTCTAATACAGACACCTCTCTAATACAGACACCTCTCTAATACAGACACATCTCTAATACAGACACCTCTCTAATACAAACACCTCTCTAATACACACATCTCTCTAATACAGACACCTCTCTAATACAGGAACACACTTTGCTTGTACGTGGCCCACTCGTCATCGACGCTCGTTACTTGCCGTTTCTTTCCCATATTGCGTCTTTACATCCCGTATTTTGGCTTTAATATCTTCATCTTCAATGGAATGATAACACCGATATTGATAATAAATGTAAAATAACATTAAACATTATTCCAGACAGTGCCAAAGGTAAATTGATTTAATAAGGCTAGATAATACATTCATATAAACACAAGTTGACAATGTAGGCAGATGCAAAAAAAAATATTACTGAAGTTATTTATTTTATTTATAAAAGTCCAATAAATATGGTATCCATAGTTAACTTTTGCCTTCGAGCTAGAGTCGTTATTTTGACATAGAAGAATTATTTGAACCAATCGAAGAGTTGAATAATTCGCTTCAATGGCTTTTACACGCCGACTGATAGACTTTTGCTCCGTCTCTGAGACTTTCAGGCCAAGATAATTCAATAAAGACTCGATCAGCATAAAATCCATGGTGTACTTTTTCTCACATGTTTAACCCTTGTATTTCTTTAAGATTATTGTTCTTCTATACATTTTACATGTCATATCAGCAAATAAAGGAGAAATCATTTGTACAACTCTTAAAATACTCATTTATATAATTCATAAACCTTGCATGTAGCAAATTATGTCAGCCATAATATGTCACGTGGAGTGACTTTATATATGATAAATCTCATCTTCATTAGTATTCTTTATATAATATGTTCATCCTAATTAGTATTCTTTTGTAGTCGTATTTTATGCCATTCAAAACACTCGTTGTCGTGTTTTATGAGATATAAAACATTCTTACTCGTGTTTTAAATAGTACATAATAGAAAAGACATCTTTGCATTACGACAATGCACGCGTAAAAGGTTTTTGATTCACCTAAAATACAATGGGTTTTTTGTATATGATCACTAGATAGATATTTTTAGTAGGATCCTTGTCAAAAAATTCAATAACGGTTGAGCAATTGCGATTGTTCTGCACTTGTCATATTTTCGAAACGAGTTCGGTGACCCCAATATTTTCCCTGTTTTTACTATGGGCATGTTTCATAAACTTCACATCTAGGAACTTTCAGCACATTCGCAGTTTCCAGAAAAATTACTAATGAATCATCTTAAAATTAATGCTAAATTGGTCCACCCTAATCCGATTTCCCTACAATAATTTAGCGCGTGTTTCATTCATTTTCCGTGTGTTTTTTCTCACATATAACGGACTTGGATCATTAACTCAGATGTAAATTCGCTCACTCATAAGTTGCTTCGCTGAAATTTTCCAAGCAACATGCTCCAATAGCCACAGCAGAAACATTTGATGATCTAACTTCAAAAAGCTAGGATGTGCCAAAATAAAACAATGCACCCGAATGCAGTGAAAACTTGTTTTTTGGGACTAAATTTGCTTTTAATTTGGTATTTAAAGAACATGTATAATTCCGAATTGGTGTAAAGCAATGAAATTGCTTTGTGGAAGTGACATATAAAAATTTCAAAGTTGCGCCACGAGTTTCTCGTTTCCTTGCCCAAATACAGTAAAAAAAATAAACCGTCATACCAGTCATTTTGCAGGTTTATTTTCAATTTATATGTAAATATCAACTAATCAACACATATTTAAAGATTTGCGGCACACAGAAGTTCAGCTTGCCTTGTTTTCTCGTGACACACATTTAAAGTTGCGTTGGCGTCTTTTATCAAACTCGACGTGTATGACGCAGAGAAGCAAAGAATGGATGCTGGCGAAGTTCCCAACGACGTTTTCATACACCTCAACGTCGGTGGACAAAAATTAATCAGCAAAAGATCCACTCTTTGTCAAGTAAAAGATTCGTTTTTTGCTTCAAGGTTCAGTGGAAGATGGCCGGAAGATCGTGACAAACGAGACGACGATGGCGCTGAGTTATTCGATGATAACCCACAATTTTTTGTTGCCATTGTGAATTATCTGCGCGCCAAGAAATATGCCACCAAAGAGAATCCCGCATTGCCGCCGAAAGTCCCCAAAGATCAATTGGACGATTTCGAAAATTTTGTCGAGTACCTCAGGTTGAGTGATGAAATCATCCCCCGTGAGAAATTCAATCAACACAGCCCTGGAGTTACTCTTGAGGAACACAGCAGAGTCGCCGTTCATGATCCAGATAAAGCAGAGCATAGATACGTTCTTGGTCAAAATATTTACCGAGAAAAGACGCACAGTTTCAGGTTGGAATTGGAGATGTTTAAAGATCATTTTTGGATGTTTGTTGGCATTATGAGAAACTGTGTTGTACCACCGAATAACAAATCACGTCGATGGCCTGGTTCGTATGGATGGGCACTCGGGCAGCGTGGTCAAGTATGGAAAGACGGGTCACCTACGATTGATAATGCTTTAAAAAATAAGACTAAACAAGGCGACACGGTTAAGTTAGTCTTGGATTGCGATGCTGCCAAGCTGTCACTACATTTGTCCACAGGTCAACAATTTCACATCGAAATACCCAAGTCACAAACCTGGAGATTGCATGTAAATTTGCTTAATCCAAACGACAGACTACGTATTATAAACGAATAATCAAATCAAAGACTATGGGCCTTTCCTAACCTGAGTATCAGGCTCTACTCAGGTTAGGCCTTTCCATATTAGAGAGATTCAGATTTGAAAAATCAAATCAAATCAGATTAATCTGATATATCAAACGCATCTGATTGGTTAAACTGATATGTCAAACGTATCTGATTTGTTTAACCATATATCAAATTAACCAATCAGATGCGTTTGATATATCAGATTAACCAATCAGATGCGTAGTAAGCCAGTGAGAGGTAGTGATAGTGAAAGTGAAATCTGAATCTCTCTAATAACACTGTTAGACTGGTTAGATCCATCAAATTGTTAAATGGAATAAAACAATTTCGCTTCTGAGATTGGTCTGACGGGAAAATTTCGATCAAATCAACATGAGGTCCATTTTGATCAAACGTCCGAAAACTTGGCCCAGATATTGCTTGAAATCATAACCCGTTATAGTATGCAAGACTCTCCCCTTGACGAGTAAATTCATCTGGCGTTAGACGAAGTAAAATACTAAAGTAGGGCGCATTTTGGCACATTGCAGCTTAATGGGTTATAAGAGAGATTCTGCCCAGCATGGCTGGTCTGACCATTTCAAATGGAAAGCGTGCTTTGTGTCTTTTTTGTAAATATATCCAGTCCTTGCAATATGATTATGAACTTTAGCTAAATTGATGACTTTATGTAAATTTGTATGCGGATATAACAAAGTACGCATTATCAAAGTTGAGTTATAGAATTATAGTGGCATGCAGTCATTGTTTGTTTTATTAGGTTAACTAGTGCATGTAGTGATTAAGAATCAAGTAATAACAAATATATGCACAAAATATTTAGATTTATATAGCCAGTAAAATATCGTGTTAGTTTTCATAGGTAGTAAAATATTTCATATTGATATTTAATAAAAGTATTTGCTTAAAACAGGCTCTCATAAATGTTTCCGAATTTCTTTAACTTTCCCCAAAATTCCTTACATTACTTCATTCAGTTTAATGTGATTTCCGCTCGACCAACGTAAATCACATATGTGTACTTCAAATTTAACCAGATAAAAAATCGAGAATTCGGCAATTTTTAATTCTTGAAATTCCTAAAGCTTTGAATTCTTCAAAAATTACACCCAAAAAATTGATTTGTATACATTGAGATTTATTTCAGCTCGATTTACGCGACGAAATTTAACATAGACTGGACCCAGCTTAGTTTGAACTATAGCCTTTGGAATATGATTCAAACTAACTCTGCTGAAACTCTAGACAGGCTTTTTTTACATTTCAAAAACCTCACATTGGTTAAAGTTAACTTACATCGAACCCGGGTTATTTTTCGCCGCGTAAATCAAGCTTTCACTGATATTCACTGAATACCACTAGAATCACTAGACACAAATTCAGGTCAAAGGTCCGTAAAATATTCAGCAGTTAATAATAGTTGTCATAATGAAACAGGAAACCATGATCATGTTTGTCAGTATTTGCATAATAAAAGACAAAGCAGATTTCGCAATATTATTTTCACAGAATAGATTGCTTTTACAAGGAATACGACCTTGCCTTGTTCTCTCGTTACGTACATTTAAAGTTGTGTTCAGTTGGCGTCATTTATCAAACTCAAAATCATTCTCAGTGTATTCACTATGAGCAGTGAAGATTTATTAACAAAATTCGATGACTTGGTAAAGCGATTCAGGAACGAATTCAACGATATTATTGAAGGGGAGCGAGCCAAAATGAAAGCGGAACTAGACGCTTACAACGCAGAGAAGCAAAGAATGAAAGCCGTCGAAGTCAGCGACAACGATATCATACACCTCAACGTTGGTGGTCACAAATTAACCACCAAGAGATCTACTCTTTGTCAAGTAGAAGGTTCGGTGCTCGCCTCAATGTTCAGTGGACGTTGGGAGGACAGTCTCGAGCGCGATCAAGATGGTACCATATTTTTCGATTTCAATCCCCAGTATTTTCTTGTTATATTGGATTACCTGCGCACGAAGAAAATTGCGACACCAGAGAATCCCACGCCATTGCCGAAAGTCCCCGAAGAGCAAGCAAAAAGTTTTAATACTCTTCTGGAATACCTCGGTTTAAGCGATGAAATTGTGCCCGCTGAAAAAGTGCCTAGCGAGAAATTCAATCAACACAGCAGCAATATAGTTACTCTTCAGGAAGGCGGGACAGTTGCAGCTCATGGTCCAAATTATGGGCATAGTTATGTTCTGGGAGAAAATATTTACCAACAAGGCATTGTTCGTTTCAGGTTGAAGGTGGAGTCGCTTAAAAGTAATGAATGGATGTTGGTTGGAATAGTAAAAGGGGATGTTGTACCACCGAATAACAATTCATATAAATGGCCTGGTTCTTATGGATGGGGACTCGGGCAGCATGGTATAGTATGGAAAGACGGGTCACATACGATTGATAATGCTTTAAAAAATGTCACTAAACAAGGCGACACGGTTGAGTTAGTCTTGGATTGCGATGCTGCCAAGCTGTCACTACATTTGCCCACTGGTCAACAATTTCACATCGAAATACCCAAGTCACAAACCTGGAGACTGAATGTGGATTTGAGTTATGCAAATAACAAAGTACGCATCATCCATGACAATGTATAGTCAAATGAAAGACTTTATTGTCTTTGTAAACCTAAACGATCTTTGTCAGTGTAGGTAGTGGCAATAATAACAAAGTCTTGGATTGATAGGGATACAACTACCTGAAAAATACAAGGAGAACAACGAGGTTTCGAGCGAAGGCACTTCGTCTTGTATTTTCAGGTAGTTGTATTCCTATCAATGTGAAGCTTTCTTTATAAACGTAACTTCTTACCACAAGAACTACTCGTTAACAATACGACTGTAGATATAGTCAAATTAAACACTTCATCTAAATTTGCTAAAATGCACCATGGACAGCGGAACATGGTGCTAGGGGGTTTATAGGCCTCCAAAATTAAAAGTAGAGGGCTAAGCCCTACCCACCCCCCCCAAAAAAAAACAAAAAAAAACGGATGAGATTCAAAATTTTGAATTTAATATAAAAAATTGGAAAAATTCAGGAAAGATGAAAATATCATCAGTGAACAATTCAGGAAATATTAAAAATATCTGGTAGGAAAGTATGTTAGGTCCGGAATGTTTTTTGCACCCTCCACCCCGAAATAAAAACTGTTTCGCTTGTCAAATCTGAATTTCTCTAATAACATTGTCAGACTGATTAGATCCATTAAATGGAATACAAAACTTTCGCTTCCGAGATTGGCCTGACGGAAAAATTTACATCAAATCAACACGAGGTCCATTTTGATCAGACGTGCGAAAACTTGGCCCAGATCTTGCTTGAAATTATAACCCGTTATAGTATGCAAGACTCTCCCCTTGACGAGTAAATTCATCTGGCGTTACACAGAGTAAAATACTAAAGTAGGGCGCATTTTGGCATATTGCAGCTTAATTAATGGTTATAAGAGAGAGAAATTGTGCCCAGCATGGCTGGTCTGACCATTTCAAATGGAAACGTGTTTTTTGTCTTTTTTGTAAATATATCCAAGTCCTTGCAATATGATTATGAACTTTAGCTAAATTGAGGACTTTATGTAAATTTGTATTCGTCATATAACAAAGTGAGCATTATCAAAGTTGAGTTATAGAATTATAGTGGGATGCAGTCATTGTTTGTTTTATTAGGTTAACTAGTGCATGTAGTGATTAAGAATCAAGTAATAACAAATATATGGACAAAATATTTAGATTTATATACCAGTAAAATATCGTGTTAGTTATCATAGGTAGTAAAGTATTTCATATTGATGTTTAATAAAAGTATTTGTTTAAAACAGGCTCTCATGAAAGTTTCTGAATTTCTTTAGTTTTCCCCCAAAAATCCTAAAATTACTTCATTCAGTTTAATATGTGATTTCCGCTTGACGACGTATAAATCACATATTTGTCCTTAAAAATTAAGCAGATAAAAATTCGAGAATTGTGCCATTTATAAATCTTGGAATCATTAAAGCTTTGAATTCCTCAAAAAAATCCGTAACTATATAAACGGATATTGCAGGAGAAATTGACGCACAAATTCTGAGCAACCTTCAATCGCCCTATTATCACTGCATGGCATATTCCCCAATGAATGGAAATGTGCTAGGGTCGTACCAATACATAAACATGAAAAGCGTAATTGTCCTAAATCCTGATAACTATCGACCAATTTCCATCATTCCTGTAGTGGCCAAGGTTTTTGAAAGAATAACTTGTGACCAGTTGTCGCTATTTCTTTCTGAGTAGGGACTACTAACTAATTGTCAGTCAGGGTTTCTTGATTTGCATTCTACTGTTACTGCTCTTCTTGAGGCTACAAATGAATGGGGCTTATAATATTCATTATGGGAACGTAAATGCAGTCATGTTTCTAGACCTTAAGAAACCTTTTGACACTGTAGATCACGAGATACTCTTAAGCAAACTAAATGCATATGGCATTAGTGGGGTCACGAAAAATTGGTTTCGATCATACCTCAATCTCGTTCCCCGAGCCTGCGATCCTCGGGAAGGAACGCGAGGCTCTGGGATAATCCGTTTCAGGGAGGAATCTGATTGGCCGTTGAAATGGAATGCGTAGTTCAATCTTAGCCACAATTCTTGTCTTCCGCCAACGGATTATCCCAGAGCCTCGCGTTCCTTCCCGAGGATCGTAGGCTCGGGGAACGAGATTGATCATACCTCAGCTAGTGAACATAAGCAGATGTTTTGTCAATGGTCATTTTTCGACTAATCGTTTACTTCGGTGTGGTGTTCCTCAGGGAACCATATTAGGGCCGCTTTTATTTCTAGTCTATATGCAGATGACAGTCACTTAATTTACGCAAGTAATAATATATATGATATATTAATCACAACTTTAATGAAGATCTTGTTCAGTAATGTCAGTGAATGGTTGTCAGCAAACAGACTTAGCCTACTTTGAACCAGAATACAACTGAATGCTAATTGGCTCTCGCCAAAGAGTTAATAGTTTTAATTCTATGCCTTCACTAACAATTAATGACATTCCGGTTAAGCAAGTGTCTCATACAAAGTCACTTGGCGTACATATTGATGAGAACTTGTCTTGGGTTGTTCACATTGAAAAACTATGTAACAAAGTTGCTTCCGGTACAGGTGTCTTAAAGCGAATTAGACGATTTGTTCACCTTTCCACCGCTATTTCGACTATTGTTATGTAGGTTGGGACAGCTGTGGTAGTATTATAAACTATCGTAACTTCGTGCACGTTTTGCTATAATATGTATTACGCCCTTTTCGAGTTAAGCCCCGACCACGCGCCCAAACCACACCCATTTTCGTGAAGGTTTTAACTCGAAGAAAGAAACACAACTTGGAAAGTTCGAGTTAAGCCCCTAGAAAAAAGAGGGGCTTAACTCGAAGTTATTGAAAATATTCGACTCTCAAGTTAAGCCCAGACAATTTAAGGCATGTAAAAGAGAGCAATGATTTGAGTCGTCTACAATCTAGCTGGAAATAGTTATCATACGTCTCGGCTTAAAATTGCCTTAAATAAGCTGCAGCCTAAATGAGTCGCGTACAATTCGTAAAAACAGTCAATTTTCATTAGTAACAGAATATTTTGGACCACTGGACCAGCTTTTGACGAGCTTATCACGAATAAATTGACTTCAAGTCTTTATTTCGCGTAAAAGATCAATTTATTTGTAATATAAAGCTCAGAGGTTTATGCGAGTTGTACGTGACTCATTTAGGCTGCAGCTTATTTAAGGCGATTTAAGCCGAGAACTTTCCCAAGGTTGGAACTTTCCAACTTGTGTTTCTTTCTTCGAGTTAAGCCCCAATCTCGTTCCCCGAACCTGCGATCCTCGGGAAGGAACGCGAGGCTCTGGGATAATCCGTTGCCGGAAGCCAGGAATTCTGGCTGAGATTGAACTACACATCCATTTCAACGGCCAATCAGATTCCTCCCTGAAACGGATTATCCCAGAGCCTCGCGTTCCTTCCTGAGGATCGCAGGCTCGGGGAACGAGATTGGTTAAGCCCCTGACGAAAATGGGTGCGGTTTGGGCGTGGTCGGGGCTTAACACGAAAAGAGCTTAACTAGAAGATTACCTTCCCGCATTAAAATGCATGCTTTATACAAAATTCTTAAACTGTCAATCAAAACATGTGCAATTCCGGTGCAGACATGACATCATTTTCCTTTAATATCAACAGTTTCTCACAGGCAGTACTCTGACGGATAAAATACAAAAACGTTTGCTGCCAGAGTGCTGAGCTAAGCAAACTACGATGCAAATGTCGATTATCTTTTCGAGAAACTTGCATGGGAAAATCTGAAATCCCAGCGTGGCTACGTGGTTTATAAGTCTTTGAATAGCTTGGCACCAGATTGTTTGGCGCAAATGTTTGTTGGTCGCAGTAGCGTTGCTAATCAATAGGGAGTTTACGATCTACGACGCGGCCGGCTCGACGACGCGCTTTCAAAACAAAGAAATTTGTCATGCAAGACAAAAACTGTGAATAATTTGTGGTCACAGGGGTATTCTCAACCGCGTTGTCATGCTCAGCACAACGTTAAACTAAGCATTATCACGTCTTTCAAGCAACGTGAAAGCTTAATGCGACCCAAGAGGTGCTACTCAAAGTCGAAATTACAGCAAACATTGCATCGCAACGTAGTAGCAGTTTGTAAGGCTATTTCAAAAAAGCATAAAATATTTATTACAGTAATCAAATTGCTTAGCGCTCATTCTTGAGCTGAAATTTAGACAGCGTCGTTGAGCTGGCCGCGTCGTACATCGTAAACTCTCTAATTAATACGTTGAGACACACCTGTAGCAAATTAGCTCTGCCGCAACCACATACCAACTATCTTAAAAATAGTTTCAGCAATAGTGGGGAAGTATTGTGGAACCCACTTCCTGGTGAGTTGCGGCAAGCTACCACCTTATCTAAATTAAAGTCCGACTGCAGCAACATTATTCGATAATTTAATATTTTATTCTGTCTCACGACACTCATGGAAACCAGGCGTGCCAAACTCGAACATTGTCACGACCGCTGAGAAGAATGATTAGAATAGAAATCCAGGAACACGGGGAACACGACCCCTGAGGATTTTAATTAGATTGGAAACCCAATCCTTTTGTAAAGACCTAAATTGTCTTTTATGTCGAAAATAAGTCCAGGTTCGGGGTTGAAGTGTTCTCAATGGTCAACTTCAGGCCCATAGGTTATTTATTGTAAATATAATCAGTCAAATCGTAAGAATTTGCCTCGGTACGAGTTTATCGTTTCCTTGCTCAACTACAGTCAAAAAAGAAAACAAACATTTTGCTGGTCTATTTTCAATTTATATGCAAATATCATCTAATCAAGACATATTTAAAGATTTGCGGCATACAGAAGCCAAGCTTGCCTTGTTCTCTCGTGACACACATCTAAAGTTGTCTTGCCGTCTTTTATCAAACTCGACGTGTACAACGCAAAGAAACAAAAAATGAATCCTGAAAAATTCAATAAACACAGCCCTGGAGTTACTCTTGAGGAAGACGGCAGAGTCGCCATTCATGATCCAGATGAAACGAGGTTTAGATACGTTCTTGGAAAAAATATTTACCACCAAGGGACGCACAGTCTCAAATTGAAATTGGAAATGTTTACAGATAATTTTTGCGTGTTTGTTGGTATTGGGAAAGGCGATGTTGTACAACTGCAGAACGATCCATATGCTGGTGCATATGGATGGGGACTCGGGTTAAATGGCACAGAATGGAAAGACGGATCATACGAGAACAAACCGGAATTAAATGGACGCGTTAGGCAAGGAGAGACGGTTAAGTTAGTCTTGGAGTTGGATTGCGATGTTCCCAACTTGTCACTACATTTGCCCAATGGTCAACAACTTCACATCGAAATACCCGAGTCAGAAACCAGCTGGAAACTCCACGTAAATTTGTTCAACGAAAATGCCAAAATACGTCTTGTCAATGAATAATCAAATTAAAGAGTTTGGGCGCCTCCCATATTAGAGATATTGAAATCTGAATTCCACTACCGCTACCATTAATGGACTATTAACCAATCAGATGCGTTTGATATATCAGATTAACCAATCAGATGCGTTTGATATATCAGATTAACCAATCAGATGCGTTTGATATATCAGATTAACCAATCAGATGCGTACTAAGTTAGTGAAAAGTAGTGAAATGTGAGCCCGCTCTAATAACATGGTCACACTAGTAATTACATTGTTAAATTGAATACAAAACTATCCCCTTGACTTGTAAACTCATCTGGCGTTAGACAGAGTAAAATACTAAAGTAGGGCGCATTTTGGCGCATTGCAGCTAAATGTGTTATAAGACAGAAAGAGAAATTCTGCCCAGCAAGGCTGGTCTGACCATTTCAAATGGAAAGCGTGCTTTGTGTCTTTTTTGTAAATATATCCAGTCTTTCCAATATGCAGATTATGAACTTTAGCTAAATTGATGACTTTATGTAAATTTGTATGCGGCATATAACAAAGTACGCATTATCGAGTTGAGTTATAGAATTATAGTGGCATGCAGTCATTGTTTGTTTTATTAGGTTAACTAGTGCATGTAGTGATTAGGAATCAAGTAATAACAAATATATGGAAAAAATATTTAGATTTATATAGCAGTAAAATATCGTGTTAGTTTTCATAGGTAGTAAAGTATTTCAAATTGATGTTTAATAAAAGTATTTGTTTAAAACAGGCTCTCATAAATGTTTCTGAGTTTCTTTAGTTTTTCCTCAAAAAGCCTTAAAAATTTCAGTGTATCTTTATTAATTAATACCCTTTTTTGTTATATTAAATTTTTTAATTAAAACTAAAGAAACTAAGAAAGCAAAGTATTTGCATGCGAGAATTTGAATAATTTTATTTCAAACTCAAAGTTTATCGATACTAAAGCCAAGGCAGTTTAGTTTTTAATATACTGATTACTGTAAAGAGCATTTTAACACGTTTTGCGAAGCGTTTGTGGTTGAATTTTACTTCAAAAACTCATTAATAATTCATGAAGCAATTATCCAATCTTGAGTAAGAAATTAGTCACGTGCATACGTCTTTATACCAGCTAAAGAACACTTTAACAAAAGACTATTGTTATGCAAACTATATAAAGATTTTTATATAAAGATTTTTATATAAAGATTTTTATATAAAGATTT